TCAATGCTGTGTCAGGTATCTTTCTTTCTTTCTCTGCAGGGATAGCTTAAGTAAGTTGTGTAAGTTTGTCATTAAAACTCAGTTCCTTTAAAAATAAAAGAACTTTGTTCCTGTGCTTAACAAACAGGGTTGGGTGTTTGTACCTTTAAAGAATTCAGTCTAGTTTCAAAGTCTGGAATGTTAGTTGGGTGACATATATATTTGATCAAAAATAAAGATTCGGGGCTGAGGTTGTGGCTCAGTGGTAGGGCACTCACCTAGCATGTGCAAGACCCTGGGTTCAACCCTCAGCACCACATAAAAATAAATAAAAATGAAGGTATTGTGTCTAACTACAACTAAAAAATATTTTTAAAAAATAATAATAAAAAAATAAATATTCAAAGCATGCTTGCTTTCCTGCTTAAGCTTTCCAGGGTAGAATGGGATAATTATTTCAGGTATTTCAGAGAGTATAAGATGTTTGGGGTATTCAGAGGACTTCTTCTGGTATTCTGGGAACTTGTTTTTGTTTGTTTTTTGGCTTGCAAGACAGTGATGAATGTTCCCTAAACTCTTGAGAGGAATTTATTTTGGTATTGAAGAAAGAATAAAGTGATAATATTTTATTGTTTTATGCAAATAAATATCATACCCTCTTTTCAATTCTTCTTTCCAGAAGGCTTATCAGGTTGGTCGCAGTCTGTGATAGGGAACCATCCAATGCATCAACAATTATCAGACCCAAGCACATTCTCCCAGCACCAACCAATGGAGAGAGATGATTCTGGAATGGTAGCCCCCTCTAACATTTTTCACCAGCCTATGGCAAGTGGTTTTGTGGATTTTTCTAAAGTGAGTTGATAAACATCATTGTAATTTGTTTGGTACTTTGCCAGTCAATGTAGTTTCATGTTAAGGAGTAGTGTGTATTGAAATAAGTCTCCCTTTGTTTGCATCCCTGCCAGTTCTTTTGTTCAGTTTCAGTAGTGGGTCATAATGTCTACACCTTAGGTGTTTGAGTTTTTCTGTTTTTGTGTTCTACCACAACTTTGAGGGAGGCCTCCCCATATCTTTAAAAAGCTGGCTGTGATCTTCAATGCTTTCTTATTTGCTCTGACAGCTTTCTGGCTGCTATAAAGCCAAATTATTGCTATAAACATTCACATAGCTTTACCCTTTTCTTGTTAGTACACTATTCATGAAACTAAGATAGGAGAAAGTGTAGGGTATTATGTTTTCAAACATAATACAGGAAATTTCCTGATGATAGCATATTTAGTTTTTTATTTCTTATTGAAAAATGTTGCAGATGCAGATAAACACTTTTTGGTTTGTCAGTACTGTACCACACTCTGCTTACAGAATCCTCTGGTGTTTTCTGAAGGGAAATTAGAGAGGTCTAAACTGGTATTATAGAATCATTATGTGTAATCATTTTGCAAGTGAACCTTTTTTTTTCCTGCTGTTTTAGGGTCTACCAATTTCCATGTATGGAGGCACCATAATACCCTCTCATCCTCAGCTTGCTGATGTTCCTGGAGGTCCATTGTTTAATGGGCTTCACAACCCAGATCCTGCTTGGAACCCTATGATAAAAGTTATCCAAAATTCAACTGAATGCACTGATGCCCAACAGGTAAAATGGGCTTAATGCTCTTTCATTTTTCAGATTTGTCATGTCACTCAATACTGTGCATAATACAAGTTCTGAGTCAAAAGTCATGACTGACCACCTTGACCTGAATTAAGTTTTTTCAATATCAAGATGATGCAACCAAACATTTTATTTCATGTATGTGTATTCTTCCTAGGCAAAAACAGTGAATTGCCATTGCATTTTTATATTCATTTTGTAAATGTCTAAAGATTCCTAATTAGAAATTCCAATTTTTCCTCCCCCTTTTCAGATTTGGCCTGGCACGTGGGCACCTCATATTGGAAACATGCATCTCAAATATGTCAACTAAGTTAGAAGGTCTTTACTCTTTAGCCTTGTTTGAGAAATCTATGACCTTGGAAGAACCCTGGGGAACTTTTTTTTTTTTTTTTTTCTTTTTTAAATGTGCCTAACTAAGAAATTTTCTCTGAGGCTTTAGCAATGGAAATTTGATTTCCCATTGTATAAGAACAAATTGATTTCCTATCCACCTGATTATGTTCTCTGGTTAGTTTAGCCATTTTCAACTTAAGATCAGATGAACTTAGTGCTTTTGGCTAGACATACCGAATGCTACTTGTATGCAGAAGAGAATTAGATGATTACATGTTTCAATCTTTTAGGGTGGTAAATACATGTATAATTGTTTACATACTGGAAAGGAAAAAGTTGAGTAAATTTCTTGTCATATAATGGCTCTACTAAATGTAGCCTGTATTAATGTGAAATATTTACCAGAATATTCAATAAAAAGATGAACAGTGTTTAGAAGTGGGGTGTGATCCTTTCAGTGGTCATGGAGGTACTGCCCAATCCACAATCATACTGAACCAGATTGTTAATATTATGTACCATGTTTCTCACATTTTACACTCCCTTGAAAAAGCACTGTTAAGACTTGTTATCTGTTTATTGTGTTTAATATTCCTGTTCCCTTGTTGTCTTCCACATCATTTTACATGTAAGAAACCCTGGCACTGTATCTTGTCTGAATTTAGCACATAGGCCACTGATAAAGTTTCACTCTTTTTTATAGATCATGAGTATGTAAATAGGAACTTGTGGATTTAAATCAGTTAACAATGAACAAATCACACCCATATCATCAACTTCAGGTTCCTTTTGTGCTTCCTAACTTTTTTTAATCTAAAAGATGTAATTGGTTATGGGTGTTTTAATTTTATTTGGGTTGCGACAACTCCTGTTACTTTGTTGTATTGTTGAATCAACTAAGTAATGTTTATAAATATGTGACTTGTTCTGAGCTTAGTTCCATGGACCCAAGTATGAAAAGTCAGTATGTTTAACAAACTAAACACAGAAACACTGGAATGAGTTGGGCAAACCAAAAGTTATGCCAAGAATCTGATGCAATAGAGAAGGAAAAATGATCTCACCGAAAAGTATAGTCATCAATCTGTTTGTGTTTTAATGTAGTTGAATCTCTTGTCTTATGTATAAGCATTATAAAAAAGAAAATAAGAAAATGTTTGGGGTGGATAGAGAATGCACAAAAAAAAAAAAAAAAGGAGTAACTAGGGGCAAACTATACAAGCAGCACCTTTCTACTCTCATAATAGAAATTCTTAATCACTGCCTAGGTCCTAAAGCCAGCACCAGGTCAGATATACCATGTTTGTTCCGTGTTATACATAACCTGTTCTTTTGTCTTCCGTTTCATCTTATGTAAGAGAATGATTACTAAAGTTATTTCTCTGTGTGTGTGTGTGTGTGTATTAGTTGTCAACAGACATTTTGTTTTATTCATTTATTCATATGTGGTGCTAAGAATAGAACCCAGTGGCTCACACATGCTAGGCAAATGCTGTACCACTGAGCCCCAACCCCAACCCTTACTTCTTTTTTAATAAATTTTGAAAGTTATCACTTGTATCATAGTTACTGCTTTTGTAGTAGTTGATAATCACATCAAATATTATCAGGAGGCCCCCTGATCCTGGAGGGAGGGGGAGACCCCTTGGATCACCTACATATCTTGCACTTAATCACCTAAAACAATGAAATGAATGAAACTACTCTTTTTCTTAAATATTTTTGGTTGTAATGGACACAATATCTTTTATTATTTTTTTATGTGGTGCTGAGAATCGAACCCAGTGCCTCAAACATGCTAGGCAAGCGCTCTGCCACTGATTTACAACCCCAGCCCATGAAACTACTCTTGATGAAATAATGCTAGTGAGAGATAATATTAAGTAAATTATTCAGTGGGACAAAAAGGTGAGTTTGGTTCTATTGTAACTATCTATAATATATTTGAATTGTCTGGAAGAATCCTTAAATCTGCACCTAGAAAACAACAAAAGGAGAAATGTTATCTCTGTTCGGGAATTAGAACCCATAAAGAGAAAAGTAGGGAGAAAACCCTAGGAGAATTAGGAAGAAACAGGAGTTGTACAGTGAATGTAGTTCCTTAGGAACTACTACTCTTTTATCAGCCCTGCCTTCCTTTCTTTCTATTTGGATCCTGGTTGCCAACTCCCAACCCCATTTCGCCTGCTATAATCTCTTCTTCCTCTGCCTGCCTCTTCCTGGCATTCCTTTACTGCTATTTACCAACCTGAACATTGGATAAAACCTAGCTCAGGTAAGAACTTGATTACTTTCAAAATATACAAGGGATATGGGGGGAAGCAGTATGGGTATGGTGGAACAAGGGTCAGAAGCCTAAATTCTATTTTCATTTCTGCCACTTGAAGCACTATGACTTTAGGCATGTCATTTCACCTTTCTGGGCTTCACTTTCATCATCTGAAAATGAAACTAAACTTAAATGAAACTCAAAATTTGAGTCCTCTAGTTCTAACATAAATTTTCTCCTTTTTCTTGTGAATGAGATTATACGGTCTGCGAATACTGGAAACCATTAAAATGTTTATAATACTGAGGTTTGGTTCTGAGGTGGGAGAAAAAAGCCTGCTATTCTGGGGATGAGTATTGATTTTGGAGATTTTAGTGAAGGTAGAAGAAAACCTTGCACATCCATAGTAGTCCTTCAAGTCATTAAGAAACATCCTGCTAAAATACAGGTCAAACTACATGAGAGTAACAGCTCTTTCAAGGAATAAAATATATCATTAAGGTTTCCAGACTCACTTATTTCAAATAGTATTCAGTGTTAACAAAATTCCACCATCAATAAAATTATTGATGTTGTAAGACCCCTTAAATCTATTGTGGCTACAGTGTGCTGACTTGCCCTTTTATAGGCCAGTCTGCTTTCTTCAGTCCCTGCTCTCAAGGGGGAAATCCCATCACCTCATCTAACCAGACCAAAGAAGAGAGTTGGACAGCCAATGGTGCCCTCTCCTAACCAGAGGTAAGAAACTTTAGGACTTGGAACTTCAGTTTCCATCTTTTTGTGTAGATTCTGGCCAAATCCTCCTGCTGATCTCAAAACTAGGGCACAAGGGGGACCATCTTAGTTAGAGTTAGGTTGTAGAAGAAAAGCTGGTCATATGATAGTTTCATGCCAAGCAGAGAGGAGTATTTGGTATACATGATTGTATCCCACTGTTGAAGACCTTTGGACCACATTGTAAACCCAGGAAGAGGCAAACAAGCCTGTAGGAAAACAACTTTGAACATCTTGTTCTCTGACTAACAAGAAGAATTTCTACGGAGAAGTATGGCTGGTCGTGACGTCTTCCCAGTGGACCCTGTACTGGGGTGAAGGGCTCTGATAACGCTGCACTTTTAATTCACCTTTAGTGATTTGTCATTTTCCAACAGGCTAGTTCCTTCACCTTCACTCTTTCCTATAGAAAAGGAGTGACAAAAATGTGGTTTAAAGTTTAAAACTCTTTGAATGTGTTAAGATCACCTCTAATAAAAAGGGAATTAGCCTAGGCTTCAAGACCTAATTTGGAAAACAAGGTCATAAATCAAATCATCTATTGCATACCTATCTTATCCTTTATTTATCTTTGCACAGTGCTGGTGATCTAATGCAGGGCCTCACATATGCTAGGAAAGTTCATCTTGATGGTATTGGTGTGACTTTAGCCAGTTTGCCTAGTGGTGGAGACCTGGTATTTCCTCATGTTTAATGTAGTCCCAACTCTCTGATTTAAACTCTTGTTCCTTATCCAGTTTGCATGGATAATAAATCTGGCTTTCTCTCTTCAGCCAACAACCTATTTTCTAGTTCTCCAAACTTATTCCACCTAGTGTCTCCAAAAAGTTAGCTTCATGCAGTAGTGCAGATAGTAGTGATATCTACTGCTGCTATTTTGTAGTAGAGATTTTTTTAGACATGGATCCTTCTTGAAAACTTCTCCCAGATCTGTTTCTGACTGCTCTTTCTGTTTTGGTGAATCCTTCTTCCTTAAATAAATGTTGATGTGCTTAGGGCTTGTCTTACACTGAATCTTCTCCCAAGGTTATCTCCTTCCATACTCTTGGATTTCATTCCACTCAAATATGAAGCACTAGCCTGAGTTCTCCCTGTGAACTTCAGACCAATATATTTAGCTCCATGTTGTGCTTTACCTGGGCATTCCACACACACTATTCATTCCCCAATACTCCTTGTCTTGTTTTCCCTATTATACTTGCATTCTAGCTACCAAGGCTGTCAAACCAGAAGATAGGGAAGTATCCTGGCTTATCTCCATTTCCTTCACCCCACCCTTAATCGATCACCTTGTTCTTTCTCCTCTTTGTATCTGAGTCTTATATATTTATCTTTATCCCTATAGCCTTTTGTGCACCTGCTTTCACTGTTGGGCTTCCCACCTTCAATCTCATGGTCCTCTACCCCATGCCTCCCTGAACAGACTACTTCATAACCTTGCTTAAAAGATGACTTATCAGATGACTCTATAATTTGTTCCCAAGCCTTATTCTCCATCACAGTTAATGTACATCATTTAGGTGTGCACCACTTTGTAAGATGCTTTCTTCAAAACTGTTTGGAACAATTAAGCATACATATCCTTGCTGTCTGAAATATGATTCTGAGAATCTGCAGCACCTGTATTACCTGGGAATGTATTTAAAATCCAGAATCTCACCAGGACCTAGTATAACAGAGTTCTCATTAAGGTCTGCAGGTGATTTATATGCACGTTAAAGTTTAAGAAGCACTGATTTATAATTTTTTTTTAAATGAGGGACAGAATTAAAGCTAAGGGAAATTCTAATGAATCCATAGCTGAGGTAATACCAGTATGTGCATGTGGTCAGGTGCTATACTTAATTTTGGGGGGTAATAAGGACAGTGCTGATTTGGGGGAAGCCAAATTGGACAACTGGATTGAAGTTAAAATTTTTAGAGTCTATAATATAGACACTAGACTTAGTACTTAACTCTCCCACCACCTCTGTCTAGCCCATTTTATATATCTGGCTATATATATATATATAGTAGGTATAGTGATATAATAGGCCAGATAAAAGGTTAGACACTCCCTCCGACCTTCCCTTCCACAGAGCTAAAACCAGATCCCCTACCTATCCTCAGTAAGCTGTGATAGATAAAAGTCCAGACCTCCCCTCTTGATTTCTCAAACTGCAGCCTCCCCCTGTCCCTCAGGGCCCACTCATCCTTTAGCCCAGGTACAACTTCTTCAGAAAGCTCCCTGAAGAAAGTAAGTCCCTTGCCGTGGTCAAGGCCATTAAGGCATTTTCACACCATATAGCAATCGTGTATTTCCTGTGCTGGGAATCAAACCAAGGGTCTCGCATGCTAATCAATCGCTCTACCACTTAGCTAAGCCCACAGCCTCAATTGATTGTTTCTAGTGGCCAGTACACAGCTGTGTTGAAGGGACCAGGTTCTGAAGTGAGGTACGCTTAGGACCCCTCCAACAACATTTGTTACTTTGAAACATATTTTCCTGCCTGGGCTTATTCGCCTCATTGTAAAATATGGCTATTAATAGTGCTTTACTGTCCAAAACTTTTGAGAGGAATAAGCCAGCTGTACTCCCCAGGAGCCCAAGTGTAAGCAGTAAACTGCTAAACTGTTGCAGTATTCAGAGGAAAGCTGGCAAGTATTGCACCAGGTGGATCTGAAGGCTTGTGCAGAGTCTTAGACTCTTCCCCACCTTTAAGGAGTCTGGTTGCTCTCTAGCGAGTAGGCGGCGCCATCGGGTTGAGTGATAGCGAGTGGCCCGCCCCGGGCGTGACGTCGTCCTAGTGTTGTTGCTGCGGCCGCACGTGGTCAACCAAGTCCGCCTCAGACTCAGCAGCATTCCGCGCCACAGCACCAGCCCGGTTGCCTTCCTGCACCTCCTGTCTGCTATGTCCACGTCCACGAGCTGCCCGATTCCGGGGGGCCGGGAACGGCTGCCCGACTGCTACAGCACTACGCCGGGGGGCACGCTATACGCCACTACCCCGGGAGGTCAGCGGGCCGGGTCGGAGTCCGCAGAGTGCTGGAAAACCAGCGCGTGCGTGCTGTTGCGGGCGGGGGTGGGTAGGCGTGGGCTGTAGATTTGTCTTTGTCCGCAGGCCCCTCTGTTGTAGGTTTGGGGGAGGGTTTTGGAACCGAAACTTAGTTCCCCAAAACCTGAAAGTGCCTTGAGCCCATCTTCGGTAACAGTGAGTGGATTCCTCTCTCTGGCCTTGTTTCTGGGGGTCTTCCATATGCTCCTACCTTTAGCAAATTTGCTTCGTGGGAGTAGGCGCCTAGGTCCCAGTAGAAGGAGGCCTGAGCAGGAAGCACCAAATCTTGGTTAGAGCTGTTGGGGGCAGGGGTTCAGGTAGCTGGCTCTATCTTTTAGCTGTGATAGATAAAAGTCCAGGCTTCCCCTGCTGCTGGTTGAGCCAGCAGCCTGAGAACTTGAGAGGCTGGGTTCCCTACCCTGCAATTCCTGCCACGAGAGGTAAAGGGGAGGGGCGAGAACTGGGCAGTTCCCCTTGAGGTCAGCTATGCTGGCTGGTTTTCCTTGAGCTAGAAGGCTGAGACTTTAAGGACTTGGGAGTGGTCAGAGTAAGAACAGTATGTCCCTGTTTTTCATGAGGAAAGCAAGTATCTGGAAGAACACAGCTTCTCTTTGCAGGAGATGAGCGCCCCCTTCACAGCTGTAGGGCAACTATATCCCACCTTGTAAACCAAACCAAGAAAATGTCAAAGCTTAAGAGTAGCAGACCCTGAGCTCAAAGTTTGGTGCTCCTTTTAAGAACTAAGACCTGAAACTCGTCCAAACCTAAGTCCCCTGGTTGGACTAACTGGAATGCCCAGTTGCTTTATGATGCTTAGACACATCTTGGTTAGGCCTGGTAGTCTTTCAGTGCCATGAAGCCTTGTCAGTAGAGATCCTAGTCAGTCTACACACTGGGAAATGTGACAGAGTCTTACACCCCCCAACACAGTCCTCAAAAGGCTGATGCCTGGGATCCTAATCACCTTTGAGCCCAAGTTCCTGACTCTTAACCTCAGCCCCTACCCCTTAACAGGCACCAGGATCATCTACGACCGAAAGTTCCTGCTGGAGTGCAAGAACTCACCCATTGCCCGGACACCCCCCTGCTGCCTCCCTCAGATTCCCGGGGTCACAACTCCTCCAACAGTCCTACCCTCCAAACTGGAGTTGCTGAAGGAGCAGAAGGAGACAGAGGAAGAGATACCCGGTAAGGAAAGCAGTATCTAAAATTAGGAAATGCCTCATCCTTTGAGTTGAGATGCCTCTGTGAAGTAGAGTGGGGTTCAATTCCAAGAGGGGTTTCCACACTGGCCATAGGCCTGCAGACCCTCAGGCCACCAACCAGCCCTGCTTTTTCTTTCTCCAGATGACGCACAATTTGAAATGGACTTCTAATCCAGTGCAGATGATCCCCCCGTGTGGCGTTATAGAGGGATCCCTCATGCCGCTGTTGCCAACACCTCTTTCTGGGATATCCAAAGGACAGCTAGCCTCATCTAATCTGGAAAGGAGTGACTTGTTGGCTGCGGATCTCCTTTAATTCTGGGGCAGCTAGACCAGGGATAGGAGTGGGCTACTTGCCAAGCCCTTAGATCTCCTTTCTCTTTGGTCTGTAGGTACTCCTCCCAACCCCCAGGCCTCTATGCTAAGGGCTAGGACTAGAGGACAGAATATGTCACCTTTTGGCTGCTTAGTAAACTTTCAAACAAATGTCTTGGCTCCAGTGTTCTCCTCAATGGTGGTCTTCTCATCTTAGCAACACAGCTGAGGGCCCTAGCAGGCTTATGAGAGGTCCAGGTCTGTTCCCAGCTCCCCCTGAACCAACTTCCAACAACCATGAACAGCAATAGCCTGGCCCTTGCCAGGGGATATTCCTGTCTTTCCAGGAAGCAGTCTTCTTGGAACTGGGCCTCCCCAACAGCCCTCCCCTCTCCATTCCTAAGCAGCACTCTCTGGATGAGGTGATTTCACAGCCTATAGCCAAATCTCTTGTCTCCCCTTGCTATTTCTACCTCCTACTACCTATAAGTACCAATCCCCATTCCAATACTGAAAACCTTGTGCATGCCTTTCTTACAGCACTGTTGTTTACATAGGTTTAGAAGAAACCTTAAGGTCCACACTAAAGGCCAAATGATGAGTCGGTAATGATCCCAAATCTCAGTATCTGGTCATCTCCTTCATTCTCTATAGCAAAAACCACTCACTGGTTCTAATCTCTACTATCTGTATACCTCAAAGATGGAAGGTATATAAGGGAGTCTCCTTTCCTTGCGAGAAAACATCCACATGCTAGGCTATTTGAATCTGTTCTCATTTTGAAATGAACTCTTTCAAAGACGGGGCTACAAGGAATGTGTTTCTTGATCTAATTTTGGTAAAAGTGGCAAGCAGCAATCTGATCATGCCCAGCTAGGCATGATGTGTGGAGGAAGGATAACAGAGTTTATAGGGTACGCAAGGAGTGGGCTGTCAAGGACAGTATTCGGGACCAGTGTGACATATGAAGGGCTCATCTCTTCCCACCCAGTGCCCACCACTGAGATGTTTTTATTGAAATGCATATGTTATGGGTTAACAAGTGAGCTCCCTGTACCCCAGATTGGATCTTGGGTCAGTTCCAATGGGACAGTCTCCCTGGTGGTAAAAGGGAGTCAAGTGAGAGAAGGCCTCCACACCAAGGCATAGGAAACAGGCTAGGTGAGTCTGGGGAATCCCCAGAATTATAGCGCCTCTTGAAAGCCTGGTATAGTTTGGTTCTCCTCAGCAGCTGCTGCAGATGTCTCTTCATTGGCCTCCTCTTCTGAAGACAGACTCCTGTTTTCCGCAATTAATCTTTTAACTCCCACCATCCACTGACTGACCTCAGTCACATGATCAACCATGAGGGAGCGGTGAATGTCATCTGCTGCATCCCACCGGTGGCTTGAAAGCTCTGAGGAGAAACAGGGCTTGAGCAAGCAGAATGTGCTAAGAGTTTTCATGCCTCCCATCCCAGAGTTCAAAATCTTAGCACCTGTTCCAGCTTAACCAACCATGGCATGGCAAGAGATTTAGGCTATACCAGAAGCCACCCATACCTTGCACCAGTAGTGCCATCCTCCTCTTAACAGGCACTGACAACTTCCCTCCAGCCCACTGTTCCTGAAGCAGTGTCAGGCGTCGACTGATGTCATCACATACCTGTTTCTGAAAGACAAATGCCCTCCAACTCAAGTGGTGCCAGCCCAGTGGGGAAAGGGGAAGGCAGTATCATAGGAATGCATCTGCTAATCTCTGGTCCAGGACCTTACATTTTGTCTTTTAGAGATCTGGTTCTTTACCCAAAGGTTAGAGGCCCTCACTGAGAACCTGTTGAGGCCTATGGATCTTCTTCCAAGAAAACATGCATGTGTGGCTAGAGTTTAAAAATTTGGGGCGCTTCTCAGACCCTCAGAAGCTCATAAGGTTAATTTACAAAAAAAGAGACTTAAGAACCAAATAGATGAAATTACTATGTTACTTCCTCTTTCCTTGATCCCTTGCCTCCAGAGAGCTTAGGAAACACCATAGATAGAGATTTCCTCTCCCCCACTGAGTACAAAACCAGCAGGGTATGCTCTGAATGGCCTGGAGATACTGAAAATTAAACTACTATTTTCCACTGGTGGGAATTTAATTCAACTCATTCCTACAACTCTACTGTTGACTAGTTCTGCAGAAGTCTTGTGCACCCTCCTGAAATCCTGTTTATTTTCTTGGGAAGGCCTTAGCAGATTCTGAAGGGGTCCATAACTCTGACAGGATTAAGAATCATTGCCTATAGGGTCCGAAGGTCTACCTTTGGGAGCCATACTTGCATCTGGCTATGGAAAGGAGTCCTCTCCCACTCCCTGGAGGGCCAGGGCTTACCCTCATGTGGCCACGGCAATCCTCCAATGCCTGTTCCAAAGGTCTCAGCACATCCTCCATCAGAGCCTCAGACTCGATGACTCGGAAACCTGTGGGCTCCACTCTGGAGACAGGACAGCTCCCCACAGAGGGGGGGCCAAGGGCCTTACTTGAAAGAGGCGGAGGCCCCATTGGAGGAGGCCCAGGAGAAGTCTCTGAGGTGAAGACTGAAAAAGTAAAGCAGGATTCAAGTAGCATGGCTCAAATAGGTAAGAAACTCAACACTAAAGTCGCCCCTTCTAAGCAGGGATACTCTGGGACAACTCATCCACTTAAAAATGTGCATGAAGTACCTACTAGGTGCAGACAATGTGCTAGGTGCCAAAGATAGAGTAAACCAGACAAATTAGGTTCCTGCCTTTAGAGAGCTTAAATTCTAGAGGGGTTGGAGACACAAGAAAACTGCCAAATTATGTTACATGCTGTAAAGAAATAAAATGTACTCTGTGATAAAGGGTATAGAAAGACCTAAGTTGTTTATACAAGTACAGCTGCTAGATTAGTGTGTAACAAAAAATATCACAAAGCTAACAGTTTTTATTAAGTTGAGAAATAATGGATACAATAGATGCAGCTATGAAGAGTTAAATGAGTACTAGGTGAATTGTTGGGGGGCAGGGATACCAGGGATTGGACTGAAAAGTGCTTCAATGTAGCTGGGCCACATTCCTAACCTTTTTCTGTTTTTTTTTTTTTTTTTTTTTTTTAATTTTGAGACAGAGTCTCACTAAGTTGCTGAGGCTGGCTTTGAACTTGCAATCCTCCTGCCTCAGCCTCCTGTGTTGCTGGGATTCCAAGTGTGCAACTGCCCAGCTTCCTAAGACTTATTAACACTGAAGAAAGCAGTGTAAGCCATGACTGGAGAAGCATTCCAGTTCCTGTAGGGCCTTGGAGTTTGATCTCGAGCCCTACAGTCCTGGGAAGCCACTGCAGTTTTATAGAAGCAAGGAGTAACATGGCCCAACTTATTATTATTATTATTATTATTATTATTATTATTATTATTATTATTATTATTTTGTGTGGAGGGCAGGGTACTGGGGATGGAACTCAGGGGCACTTGACACTAAGCCACATCCCCAGCCCTATTTTTTATATCTTATTTAGAGACAGGATCTACACTGAGTTGTTTAGCACCTCGCTTTTTTTTTTTTTTTTTTTGCTGAGGCTGGCCTTAATCTCTCAATACTCCTGTCTCAGCCCCTCTGGAGCCAGGCATGCACCACTCTGCAGTGCCTGACATTTCTTTCTTTCTTTCTTTCTTTTTAAGATGTATGTTTCATGACAAATTGATGAGAACAGATCAAGAATAGAGCCAGGCACGGCAGTTGATTAATGAGATGGTCCAGGAAAAAGAGAATGCCTAGCCATAACTATGGTAAAAGAATAGATGAGGGGGGGGAAGCAGTCCGAGATTTATTTAGGAGGAGGCAGCAACAGGATTTGGTTACAATAGTTGAGGGAAGAATCAAGATGACTTGTTTCTTTTTTTTAAAAAAATATTTATTTTTTAGTTTTCGGCGGACACAACATCTTTGTTTGTATGTGGTGCTGAGGATCGAACCCGGGCCGCACGCATGCCAGGCAAGCGCGCCACCGCTCGAGCCACATCCCCAGCCCCAAGATGACTTGTTTCTGACCCGTAACTGGAGGAAGAAAGTCAAGAACTTAAGTTTCAGGCATTAGCATCTACAAGGATGATTAATGCATCTAATAATTTGGCCTCAGTTACTTTACTCCTGCACCTCCAGTGATTTTTTTTTTTTTTTTGGGTAGTTGTAGATGGACAGCATGCCTTTATTTGTTTACTTTTATGTGGTGCTGAGGATCAAACCCAGTGCCTCACACCTGCCAGGCGAGCACTTTACCACCGAGCTACAGCCCCAGCACTCCAGTGATCATTTTGTTCCTCCCTCTTATTCCCCAATGCTTTGTCCACAACATTGTATCATCTACAAAATTTGACTGCCCCTCCTACCCTTCCAGCTCAACTACTCAGATTCCCTGGTGCATTACAGCTACTCCCTTTGAAACACTTTTACCTCCTTCCTCTCTTCCTTTTGTCCCACTTTATTGGTTAAACCATAGTGCCTACACTTGGGAAGAAAACAGAACCAAACTGATAAATGATAACTTAATACTTTTAATGGCCACCGATGTTAAAACATACCAAATACTGCCTGGACACATGTCTTCTAAACTTTTCTTCTGTCTCACTCTTTCTTTGCCTACTGTCTCTCCACCTCTGATCCTGCCTCATGTTTCATTGAGAAAACACAGGTCATCAAACATGAACTCTCTCATCTTCCCACCACCACTTTTACCAGCTTATCTGCATCTGCGCCCACTTTCCTTCCTTCTGTAATAAATGAAAGCTTCCTGCTTCTATCAAAATCCATCTCCAGCTATTATTCCTTTTCTTCTGCATCATCAGTTCTGGTTCTCAGTCAGCATACAAACATATTAGTATATACTATCAAAAGCAATCCTTCCTTCACATTATTCCATTTTCCAACACTGCCCCATTTTCTCATCTCTGCTTCATAAAACTTTCTGAGTGAAATGTCTATAATTACGCTGTATTTTTCATATTCTCTTCTCAGCCCATTCCAGCTAAATTTGTTTTCACCACTCTATAGAGACTGTTCTTGTTAAGGTCAGCAGTAATTGCGGTGTTTGTCAGATATAGAGGTCTCTATCTCTCTTGACCTCTGTAGCATTCTGCACTGTTGATTCTTGATTTTACTCTCCCCTATTCTTCTTTGGCCATTTCTTAATCTTTGCTGCTCCCTCCTATACATAACCTTGAAATGCTAGAAAGCCCTAGAGCAACTTTTTAGGTCTCTATCCACAACCTCTCTTTATGTCATCTTATGAGCCATGCCATTAAATACCATCGACTGTTGGTGACTTTCTCTAATCTGATCTATCCCTGTTTCTCTCCAAAGATAGCAGCAACCCAAACTTAAATATGGCCCAAAATGAAAACTTGCTTTTTCCCTCCCCACAAAACTCTATCCTCCAATCTCCCCATGTCAAATAAACAAACAAAAATCCATATTGATTTCTATTTACTTACTCTTACTTTTTCCACAACATAACCTATGTACACCCAATTCCTACCATCCCCACTACTTCCTTCCTTGTCAAATCATTAAATCTTGCCTGTATTACTGTAATAGCTTCTTGATTTGTTGTTCATTTCTTCCCTAAAATCTTTTTCCACACAGCAGACACAGTGATCTTTTAAAAATGTAAATCAATTAGTGGTTCCCATGCTGGAGAGCAAACATCTGAAACAACTGACTGAACACTACTGGCATCTACCTGGTAGAGGATCAAGGGTGCTGCTGAAGAAACTACAACGCAAGAGAGTATCCAGCAAAGAATAACTTGGCCTAAAATCAGTAGTGCCATGGTTAAGAAACCCTGCCTTCCTTATATCACTCCTTTGCAGTGAAAAGGGTGTAAAGAATGAAGGATGCTAAAAGAAATTAACCTGAGCCCATTGTGCAGGTGACTGCCCACTTCTGGCCTAGGAAACTTTAAGTGGGAAAGACAGCCCTTCTCTACTTTAAACTTTTCAATAGCTTCCAACTTTGTAGATTAAAATGCAAACTCCTTTTCCTGGCAAAACTCACTATGTTGTAGCCATTCTACTTCTTCAGTATCCAATCTTTTTCTTATCCCAGGACCTTTGCACTAGCTTTGAAATGTTCTTGCACCTGATCATTGACTGGCTTCTAGTTACTAGATTTCAACCCCTCAGATGCCTAATTTAGTCACCCAGTAACATATCACTCTGTTATTTCTCTGCAGAGCCCTTTGATTTAATGTCATCTTATTCAAGCCATGACATTAAATACCATTAAATATTAAATCAATATTTAATCTATTGCCAACGCTACATAGTTAACTTCTTGTTCACTGCTGTTTAGTTTGTTGCCCTTAAGTAGTGTCTCTTAGTATGTACTCAGTAAATAATAATAAATAGATGAGTAACACATCAAGTCTCAGATGCCTACTATACCCAAGTGAAGAGGTAAAAGGGCTAAATCCATGTATCACTATGGGATTCTAAGAAGAGGACTAGATTGGAAACAACTTGAGAATACTCTTGATAAGATCACTTAGGATCAAGGTATTAAAGAGTCTTCTTAAATAAACAACATTTATTGGTCTAAGCGGCAGAGGGAGCTCAAAAACACCCGCTCTGGGCCCCTTACTGGAGTCCCAGTCTCCTTGTGGAGGGAAGTCTCCTCAGAAGAGAGAAACAGGCCTTTGGGTCACGCTTATCCCTGGCACCGCCCATTCTCCGCGGGACTCCGTGTATAGGGCCCCCACGCACCTCTGGGGGATCCATCCTGCGGGGCGGCGACCCTCTTAGTGAGCGGCGTGCGCTTGGGTCCGCCAGTCTGGGTCTGCAGCCCGTATGAGAACTGCGGCGGGTCGTTCCAGCCGCGCTCCTTGTTGCCTGTGGAGGCGAGGGAATGTGTAAAGCGAGAGCCGGACTCCACCAGAAGGTTTCACTGGGGCTTGGGAAGATATAGGTCCGCACCCGGCGCCCCCAGCTGCGCTCACCCGGCTTCACATACAGCTCCGCCATCTCCACTTCCGCACTGCCAGCGAGGCAGCGCGTCATTTCCGGGACCGCCGATCACGCGGGCTAGTTGGAATGTGTGCCAGGCGGCGCTGGCTGCTTGGAGGACTTGTTTGGACGGTTCTTTTCAACCCCCGAGAACCGCAGGGACCCTGCGCCAATTCCCTAAGGGACTCGAAATCGCCAGCTAAAGATTCTTCGGGACCCTGGTCACAAGGCACCAAACGATGCTGTTTTTCCAAGGACCTGGCGCTCTAGGGAGCCCAAGTCTCAGGGTCCAATCTCTCCCAATTGTTCTCAGGAGCAAATTCAAACCACCAAAAATTCAAGCCCCACGTGTACCCCGTCAGTGTTCTAGCCAGGTCAACTCCTGGAACCTCACCTCTGTCCAGTGCCCTACACATTCACCACATTTATTTTCTCTAGAGTCACTTAGTACTCATCTTCCTTCAACACTCGGCTTAAATGTCAACCCTCCCAAAGTCTTCTGTAACACATTAGGCCAGGTTAAGTGTCTCACCGTGCTACCACAATACTCTTCTGAAGAAGATTTCTGAGTTGTACTACATAGCATCTTCTATTTTGTTTGACTTGTTTATCTCCCCTAGGAGTCTCAGAAGGTGGGATCTGACTAGTACATCCCCAGCACCTAGCTTAGTATCTAGCACAAAGAAGACCTTAGAAAATGTTTGTTGCACGAATGAAGTCAGGTGTCAATTACATCCATGCCCTCATCGTCACGCTCACCCCTCACAGGTTGTTAGCCCCCAACCCTGTCCCAGGTCCAATATACTCACACCTAGTGAGGTCACTGAGGGATTTTTATTTGCACTTATTTTTCTATAAAGTGTTGCTGAGGTAGAGCCAACTGCCCAGGGCTGGACAGGGTCAAGGAACACAAGGATCCAAGGTAAGGGGGAACCAGGGGCCTAAGTTGTAGTGCAGGGCCTCTCAGTCATCCATATAAACAATAAGTTGGGCAATAAATAGAGGGTAAGCAAGGATCCCGAACAGGCAGGAAAGGTGAGAGGTTGCAGGCCCCTGGGACATAAAGGGGTACAGAGTTGGGCATGAATCCAGAGCCTCCTTCCCCAGCCCTCCAAGATCAATTTAGGGCATATGGAGTAGAGAGGGTTTCAGACGGAAAGCATCAAGAAAAGAGAAGACACCCCGCTTTCGAGGGGCTGCCCCTGCACCCCCAACCCCTCCTTTGAGTAGGGGCAGAGGCAGGGGACCTCCTGGGGAGTCCATAGAGCTGGTCCGCTTGAGCCGCAGGCGGGCACGGGCCTGGGTACCCCAGGCCTTGCCTCGAGCTGCAGAGGCCACAAGACACTTCTGGTACTGAACCTAGGGAGAAGGGTGATGTGAGGATACAGCTACTCTCTGCCCCTGGACTCCTTAAAAGCTTCTGCAGGACAGAAAACTGGGCAAGGCTTCTATCTGATAGTTAGCAAATCTGCAGTCCTTACAATGCTGTCAAGTAGCTCAACAGCAAAAACATAAAACTTGATATTTACTGAGAAATTAAGGAAGGCTGGACACTGGTAAGTGTTTGATATAATAATATAACTTAATTCAGCTTTTTATGAGGTGTTGTTATCCCCATTTTCCAAATGAGGAAGTTAAGATTCAGAGAGAATAGAAGACTTACTCAAGGTCATATAGCCAGAAAATGGTGAAACTGTCATTCAAACCTAGTTTTGACTGTAGAGCCTGTACTCTTAACCACACCTACCACTAGGCTACCTCTGATCTATCTATCACTGTTGTGGATCAGTCCTCACCAAAACATATTCTCTAATTAAGGGGAGGGTCTACAACCCCAATCCATTCCCAGTACAACTGCTCAAATTATCTCTCATTTGAACTATTAACGAGGGTCCCAATTAGCCTTCCTACCTCCTCTCTGTGTCCTCTAAAGTTTTTACCCATACTATAGCTTAAGTGGTCATCCTAAACTACAAATGAAACTTAACTGTCTTGCTCAAAATCCTTCATTGGTTCCTCATACCCCTGGATAAAATAAACTCATCACCTCGACCCATGACCTAGTTTCTGCCTTCATCTCTCACTACACCTTCCCTTGCATTGCCACATACTCTAATCTACTAACATCTCTCTCTCTCTCTTCTCTCTCTCTCTCTCTCTCTCCTTTACAATTGAAGTTTCCTGTACTCAGCATAACTGTCCCACTCTGCTTCACATAACTTCCTCATAGGTCATCTCAATTTTCTCTCATGAAGGAAATCTCCTCTATCATCCCATGGTATACAACCTCTTCCTGATGTGTTTCTGTTCTATCCTAAGTATTCTGTGAAGGTAAGATGTGCCTTCTATATTGCTGAATTACCAGGGTTAAGTGTGGTGCATATAATTTATAGGTACTCATCATTTGTTGAATAAATAAGTGAACTGAATTAGTGGAGTTTAAGCATACCACATTTGAATGCCCACATATGCCAAGAAATAACCTAAATGAGACAAACAGAAAAGACAATACCAAACCTATGTAGCAGAGTCCCTACAGAACTCCAGCTACATGCTGAAATTTTACATTTGAACCCTGTGCCAGACTCTTCATAATTTAAGAAATGCAGGTATAGTAATAACTATGTAAAATCTTCTAGCCTGTAAATATTGGCAACTAATCAAAACTTACTAAAAATAGAACAAGGGCCAAAATACTTATGAACCAATCAGCCCTAGGGTCACTGGTTTGTGATCTGTGGGAAGGCTGCCAATCGTGAGCCCAGTCCATGGTATACAGCAGCTACAGGACAATTCCACCCATGAATGCCAACCCCCAACTCACCATACAGGCAGCCTGCACAGCTTCAGAGAGTCCCCCAGCATGAGGCTGGCACCAGAAGGCGGCACACTGGAAGCTCTGACGGCCAAGGTCAGCGATGAGGCCAAAGGTGTGTGGGTCATGGCCAACGCCAATAAAGGTCACAAGGCGCACAGGGCACTGCCACAGTGGCTCCTCCTCTGCACTGGCCTCTGCCTGTCCATACCAGGCCTAGTCATTAGAGGATCAAGCACTGGCCAGGCACACTATCTCTTCCAGCAGACCCCCTCAGCATCCTTGCTAACCCTCCACAGGCTCCCCACTTCACCCTCTTCTGGTACCTGAATGGAATGTGCAGTCATGAGAGAATCAGATACACTGAGCACAGCAGGAACCCAGGCATTCTTGTCCCCTCGGGCAGTGAGGGTACCAATGGCCTCGTTCAGCACATCCATTCCTGGGGGGACATGACCACTGTGATGTCTCCCAGTTACAAAGAAAGAAAGGGTCTGCAGAGAGTATCTAGGCCCCTCTCACTGACTTGGGATTCAGAAAGATGAGAAGAATATAGCTGGGGCTGGAATTAGAACTTTGAGTTGGGAAAGCTGGTACATCCCAGGCTATGTAAGGTCATGGGAGGTCTCCAAGAAATAGTAGATCCCACCCCACCCACCTTCCTCTTGTCTTATGCATCCCAACCCATCCAGCCTCTTCAGTCCTCACCCATGGCTTTGGTGACTGGCAGGGTCCCCATGTACAGTGCCTCATATTTCTGAGCAGCCTGACTCACAGCATCCAGCAGTTCCGCTGAAATGTAAACATTAAGTTGGCATGGGAACTCTCCATTATACCTAGCCTACCCTTCTGAGTGGGCCAGGACCCAGGACAGAGATATTGCTAATAAAAGAAAGCCCATGGATGTTCCTCCATTTTAGGGCTTGGGATCCCTGGGGCCAGACACCTCAGAAATCTCACATTTCTGGAGCCGTGCTAAATGACCAACTCCCATCTTTCATCAAACATCCTAATGCTGCAATATAGCAGCCCTTTTCCTGTACCTTGCCGTGGCAGGTCTTCAGGGGAGATGGGATCTGGGGAGCAGCAAACAGAATCACCACTGACTCCTACTCGCTCTGACAAGATCTAAAATACAATGCAATCAGCATGAGACTCAGAGAGAAGGAGGAATTTGGGTGAAGGGGTCAATAACACCCTGACCCAATTATCTTGAAAACTCCAGCCCCAGCTCCACAACCACATGTCCTGCCCCCCCACCCTTAGCACTTACCTGAGCACAGAGCCCATGTAGGGCACTTGCAATAGCTTTGGCAGGGACATCACAGCGAAACACATGGCACTTGAGCATACAGCTGTCTTTGTCACCCGCCACAAAAGCGAAGTCCCTGGCAAAAGCAGAGATAGGGCTGGGGTAGAGCTGGTTAGAGGCAGGGGCCTATAGAGCCTACAAGAAGCTTTTAAAATCAGTCTAGGAATACAGCAAAGATAGAGTAGGGAGGTTAGGGCTGGGAGTCAGGGTACCTGGTTGTCACGTACCTGTCACTGTTCCAGAAGCATGTGGGAGCACAGGAGAGAATCAGCCCAGCCTTTCAGGCTGTCCCCTATCTGTCCCTGCTGAGCTGGGCCCACCCTCCCCAACCAGGGCTGAACCAGGCAGGGGAGGCAGTGCTGGGTCCATGTCAGAGGATCTGTGTCCAGGGGTTCAAGTACCAGGGATCAGCATCAGTGGGGATCACAGCCTGCAGGGGGGAGGGAGAAGCAGCTCTCGCTTGGGGAGATGCAGATGTCCTCACCGGCCCTTGGAGCTGCCCACACCCCATACACGAATGTGCACCAGAGGCTGGCAGTGGATCAGACTATGGTCCAGTGGATTCACTAGGCTCATGGCATCCTTCTTCAGGATCATAAGCATGTTCTGGCCCTGCCAAGGACAGTCATCCCAAAGATCAGATAAAAGTGGTTGCCATAGGAAACAGGTAACTCAGGGACAACTACTTCTGCTGGTCCATAGACAGAACCCATTGGGCAGCCAGATAACTCACCTCACCCCAGGCACCATCTGGGGGCTGGCTACGGTTGCGGGTCTGAGCCAGCTGCTGGATACAGTTATTGACTGCAATACTACTCTTTCCTGGTGCCAGGTCTTCTTCCGGCACCTCCACCCAGCCCAGAGAGCGGACTGCAAAGCACTGACAAGTTAGGGGAAGGGACAGGAATGAGTAGGGGTGGAATGGGGTGGCAGGTACCACAGGCTCCACATGTACAAACCCTCTGGTAGTCTCTTCCTTTGCCCTTTATCACCTCTACTCAATCCAGGTCCACCCCAATCTTTCACTAAGGATTTCCCAATGCCTTAGGTTGGCCCTCGGGCTCAAGTCACTACCTTAGCCCCTGGCTCCAGGCTCTGGATATAGGATTCCTCACCATACCAGGTCAGAGAGTTACTGGAAAAGAGAGCACAACTGGTAAGAGAACCATACTTCCTACAGTAGGGGAAATGGTAAGGCCCAAGCTATTTTATCAGCACAGGATTTTGGACAAGATCCAAAATACAGCATCACAAATATAAACCCCAAGTGTGGTAGAACTCAGGATATATTAACATAAAATGTGGCTTAGAATTTGAGAGAAAATTCAGAACCCAAAGTCCAGACAGGACGTCGAATAAAAATTAAAACATGATACAGTGTATAAACTGTGAATCAGAGCCCCTAACCAAGACAAGACATCCTTGAAATCAAAGCCCAAAGACATGGCCAAGGTCTAAAACATGATAGGTCAGGACACAGAATATGGAAAAGAATATGTAACTAATGACAAAAACTTAGATCAAGGGACAAAACTCAAAATACTGATAGTCAAGAACACGGGGCTGTGCTGTGCCCAACAACACAGAACAGGGCCCTAAAAGGTAGTCCAGAACCTGATCTGGAAAACAGACTGGGTCCAGCTGCATTTCTGAATGCTCCCAAGCCTTTCATTTTGCCTGGGCCATCCCTGTTACCTTCGGTCCAGTGAGTTCTCCAGGCTGGAGAAGGATCTCCCCTTGGGGGGCCGCAGTCCCCAAATCCTCTCTGTCCTCTGTAGAACGGGGGCAGTCAGTCAGTATAACAAGCAGGCATAGGGCCACACACAGCCTTAGGCCCCCTTCTCACACCTACCGTGCCTGGATCCTCTGCATCTCCTATTTCCCAGGTTGGACGCTGCCACTGGGTGCTACCGCTTGGTACATGCCAATAGTAAGTACCTGCAGCATCATGGATCTTCCTCCAGCCTGGGGGCAGGCCTGGTTCCCCCTCCAGATTCTGGTCCCCCCACAAGTCATCTACAGAAACGAGATTGGAGAGGGTGCACATATTATGCATGAGTTCAGAATAACCATTGTCATAACCCTCCCTACATCCCACAAGGAACAGCCCGTTAGGCAGAAGCTCAAGGCTCCCCAATCTTAAGGATTGTAGGATCAGGGTTCATTTGTCCGCCGATCCCCATACCACCCCCGATTTTGACCCTTTCTCCACTCCCTAGTCTCCCCCATCAGCTTCTGATTTTCCCACTAGGCCCCTCCGTGCACACCGTCGCAGTTGACCAGAATGATGGCCAGCATATAATCCTTGCCCAGCATAGCCCCTCCGGGTCCCGGCTGGCCCTAGCTGCCCTGCGCTCTCAGCTCAGCGCGACCTCAGCAGAGTTGCGCTGAAAAGCCCCGGGTCCCTGTGCCGGAGACCGCCAGGCCAGCTGGCGCCGCAAACACGCGGGGCGGGGTCTGAGCAGCACCGCCCCTAGACGGTGGTGTCTAAATGCCGAGTGGATGTGTGTTTCCGTGCGTCGGACCAGAGGAGGCGCACGGACGCCCCTGACTCGCTGACACCACCACGCAACTGTGAGCTCATCAAGAGGGTGGAAGACTGGTCAGGTGAACGTGCACCGCGCGCACTCGCGCATGAGTGAGATCATCGCGCGGGTCGTATGCGCGCTCACAGACAGCCTGGGATGCGGCGGTAGGGGTCACGTGGAAGCATCTGTGAAAACTAGACTGTCAAAATTCGGCGGCGAAGAAAACACCCAATCCTTTACAAAAATGCCCCGGAAGTGCCTCCGCCCTCAGTAAAGATGGCGGTAGGCCCACATAAGGGAGGCGGGGCTGCGCCTGCGCAACAAGTTCGGCGGGGAAGATGGCGGATGACAAGGTGAGTGAACGTGGGGGTGATCCTTAATTTTTTAAGATTGTCTTTAGACTCCATGGCTCTGTAGTTTTGGGGAAAGGCGACACTGGAATGTCTCAGAGATGGGGTGCCTCTTGTTTTCCCTGGGACTCTATCGACTACCTCAACAGGGAGGGGTGGCATGGGGGTAGTTTTAGGGAAGGCGGGCGGAGTCGGGGATCCCCCAGCAGTCCCCTCCCGAATACCATCATGATCCCCAGTTACTAGCACACACTCAAACACACTTACCCCGGAATGCTCCTCACTCTGCCTCATTCCCTAGCCCCCCAAATTCCCCTTCCAGAGAGAGCGTTTCCAGTCCACACGAACGGCACCCTCAAACACTTTTCTTGTGCACACACTGAATTTTATACTTACATGTGATCAGAATTATTCGTCGTTTATGCATACTCTTTCTGACATTCGTTATCTCTCATATCCAGTTACTCCATTTAGGTTGAGATGCTCTCAGAAACAGGGATACAGTCCAGGCAGAAATCGGGTTTACCCTCAAATTGTCCAGGGGGCGGCTTCAAGCTATTATTCTCCTTTGGTCTGGAAGCCCAGCATCAGTCACATTCACCAAGTGCCTGCCAGTCCCACTACCAGGCATTTTACAACAGACAAGAAAGACTGATCACCACTTTCGGGGAGTTCTTGGTTCAGTCAGTAGTTATTTGCTCATAGACCTAATTGAAGGTTCCTTCTGTCTTTCCTGCACACTGATTGCTATATTAGATTCCTGTAGTGATTATTACAAGTTACTGATACTGATTTCATCTGCCACCCCCTCCCTGGCCCTATGTAACTCTGCTTTTCAATGCCTTTCTGCCTTTACCACTGCCATCTCAGGAAGGTTTTATAGAAAGATATCTCTGGCTCACCCCATTCCTCCCAACTCCCAGTTTCTGATAGAATTGAACAGGGAATGGGGCTGAGTCAGTCTGCTGGAGCCAGCCTCTCCCTTGTCCTAGGATTCTCTGCCCAAGCTTAAGGACCTGGCATTTCTCAAGAACCAGCTGGAACGCCTGCAACAGCGAGTGGAAGACGAAGTCAGCAGTGGTGTGGGCCAGGTAGGAGTTGTCCTCCTGCCTCTCACCTTAATCTTCATTGTCCAATTTTCTCTTGAGAATGTTGAATGAGTGGCAGAGATTTATTCAGCAAATGGTTATTGAGGGCCAGTTCTCAGTTCCCCAGGAAAATTTCCCTGAGAAAATAGCACTTGACCTGAGATCTTAAGTAGTGGTTAACTAGGTAAAGTGGAGAGGAATGAAAACTCCAAACATATGCAGAGTAGTATTATGTACAAGAGAGGGAAAGGAGGTCGGTTCTGCTGCAGTAGTGGGAAAATATGCTAGAAAATGAGACTGGAGAAATAGCAGGGCTCAGACTGCTCAGGGGCATCTCTGACATTTTAGCAGGAAGATTCTGTGGTTGGAGTTTTCTGACTTCAGGATTCTGATATTGTGTGATCAGGGCTCCTGAGGTTTTTTTTTTTTTTTTTTTTTTTTTTTTTTTGAGCTCCAGAACCTTGAGAAAAATCTTTGAAGAAAATGCTACAGCTGTAGAGAGTGACCGTCACTTGAGTAGTTCCTGGGCAGAGAAGAGGGAAAACCTGCCTGAGTTTCCTTCTTCATTTTTCTCTGCAGGATGGCTCACTTTTGTCCTCCCCGTTCCTCAAAGGATTCCTGGCTGGCTATGTGGTGGCCAAACTGAGGGCATCGGCAGTACTGGGCTTTGCAGTTGGCACCTTCACTGGCATCTATGCAGCTCAGGCATATGCTGTGCCCAACGTGGAGAAGACACTGAGGGACTACTTTCGGTCACTGCGCAAGGGGCCTGACTAGCTCTAGATCCTATGGGGGAAGCAGGATGAACAGCTGGGGCCTACAGGTGGAGGCCTTTCGAACACAGACATACTATCTAGCTTCCCTGGCTGTCATCTACTTACTGTCTCCACCTGTCCTGCCACCTTCATCTTAGCTTCTCTTCCTGCAGAGGGTGCACAGTGGCTTGTCGGACTGTAACCTGGACTCCTTCCCTCCCCAGCTCCATGAGACTGGCCCCAAGACCATGCTTCCTCAGCCCCTTCCTCTTCCAGCCCTAACTGTGGAGTGTACAGATGACTCTGATCCTCAGTATTCTCTCTGGCAATGTACCAGCTCCTCCTGGGAGCTGGCTTCATAACTTAATATCCCTTAAATGTGCCCCAGTTCCTCTGCCACTTGCTAGTTACACAGGCAACCAGGATCTGATGAGGGCATGAGTGTAGAGGAAGGTGGTATGCCAGGCCTGGGCCGTCCTAGGCAGGCCCGCTGGACCCTGATGCTCCTCCTATCCACTGCCATGTATGGTGCCCATGCCCCACTGCTGGCGCTGTGCCATGTGGATGGGCGAGTGCCCTTTCGGCCCTCCTCAGCTGTGCTGCTCACTGAGCTGACCAAGTTACTGTTGTGCGCCTTCTCTCTCCTTGTGGGCTGGCAAGCATGGCCCCGAGGGGCCCCACCCTGGCGCCAAGCTGCTCCTTTTGCACTATCTGCCCTGCTCTATGGCGCCAACAACAACCTGGTGATCTATCTACAGCGTTACATGGACCCCAGCACCTACCAGGTGCTGAGCAATCTCAAGATTGGAAGCACAGCCCTATTTTACTGCCTCTGTCTCCGGCACCGCCTCTCTGCACGCCAGGGTTTGGCACTGCTGCTGCTGATGGCTGCAGGGGCCTGCTATGCAGCAGGTGGCCTTCAGGACCCTGGGAACACCCTTCCTGGGCCTCTAGCAGCTGCTGCCAGCCCCATGCCCCTGCATATCACTCCACTGGGACTGCTGCTGCTCATCCTGTACTGTCTCATCTCAGGCTTGTCGTCTGTATACACAGAGCTGCTCATGAAGCGACAGCGTCTGCCCCTCGCACTTCAAAACCTCTTCCTCTACACTTTTGGTGTGCTCCTGAACCTTGGTCTGCATGCAGGTGGTGGTCCTGGCCCAGGCCTCCTGGAGGGTTTCTCAGGATGGGCAGCACTTGTGGTGCTGAGCCAAGCACTAAATGGACTGCTCATGTCCGCTGTCATGAAGCATGGCAGCAGCATCACGCGCCTTTTTGTTGTGTCCTGCTCATTAGTGGTCAATGCCATGCTTTCAGCAGCCCTGCTACGGCTGCAACTCACAGCTACATTCTTCCTGGCCACACTGCTCATTGGCCTGGCTGTGCGCCTGTATTATGGTAGTCACTAGCCCCTGGCCACCTTGCTTGCTTCTGATTCTATAGATTGGGCACCACCACCAGAGTCATCTCTCAAACTTCTTCCTTTCCTCCCCTTAGCAACTGTAATAAGTGCCTTGTGAGAAAAGCTGGAGAAGGGAGAGCAACCAAGTTAGTCTTGAAGTGGTGTATGAAGGAGGCTTCTAGGAGACATGAAGAGTAGATTTGGTTAAGGAAACTTAACTTCCCCACCCACCCCCAAGTTCTTCCAAACTAAAGAATTGGGAGCATCAGTACCTAGGCCTGAAAAAATGACTCCATTCCTGATGGGGAAGGCTCCCTGCCTCATCTTCCATAAACAAAATGAGATATGGGTGACCGGTGGCTTTCCTTGCCCACTGTGGTCACCCCAATATACCCACTACCCAGGCCTGGTGTTGGTGCTCAAGCCCCGCCTTGGTGCATGACTTCTTCATAAGGGACACTCACACCCAACAGTCATGCAGGAAGGCCCAATTGCTACAAATTATATAGCTGTCACCTAGGCCACTCTGCCAAGGTCCCTCAGCTCCAGCACTGCCTGGAGATATATCCCCTACCCCCTCCACAGTGCTGCTTCCCTTACCCAGCCTTTGTTCTGGAAACCCCACAGAGGGCTGGGGCTTGACTCATCTCAGGGAATGTTGCCCCTGGATCCTGGCTTAAACCTATACTCCTAACCCCTTTGCTCACCCAAGGGCCCTATTGAAGCCCACTGCCACCTCTAAGGCTCTTAGGAGGTAGCATCTTTCCCACTCTGAGTCCTATCCCTGCCTAGTAGTGTCCCAGCTCCCAACAGCCTGGGAAAGCTCTGCACAGATTGACCTGGGACCAGGTACAGAAACTTCTATAGCTTAATCAATGTCTCTTTTAACTGCATAAGCAATAAGGTCTTAATAAAGTGTTCTAGGATGTAGGGTGCTTCCTACAACCAGTCAATATTGTCTTGTGTCTTCTATGCTGCACAGTTCCCCTCAAACATAATTGTCCCTTGGTCTCCTGAGTATCTTAATTCTGGAGTAACTTCTGGACTAAGAGGACAAGTGGTTTTCTCCAAGCTGTTGCTGTGGATCTGAGGTATTCTCTGTCACAGACTTTGAAATTTCCCTTAAGCACAAAACTTGGGCCCTGGGGCTGGGGATGTGGCTCAAGCGGTAGCACGCTCGCCCGGCATGCGTGCGGCCCGGGTTCGATCCTCAGCACCACATACAAACAAAGATGTTGTGTCCACTGAAAACTAAAAAAATAAATAAATATTTAAAAAAAAAAAAACTTGGGCCCTGGAGAATTTAGAGAGTCTTGGAAACAGAAGGTACTGAGCCCAGCAGGACAAACTAAACTAGGCTGGAAAACTTCAGACCACTAATGTTTTATGTTTTTATTAGTGCATTATAATTATTTATTAATGGACTTTGTTATGCCATATTCATACATGATATACCATAATTTGTTCACCCTCATTCCTTAGTACCTTCCCTTTCCCTCTCCCTCTGATCCCCTTGCTCTATTGGTCTTTTTTTTTTTTTAATTAATGCAAATAATGTGGGTTTTGTTGTTACTGTTTTTGGCACTAGGGATTTAACCTTTTATTTTGAGATAGGGTTTAAGTTGCTGAGGGCCTTGCCAATAGTGTTACTGAGGCTGGCTCAAATTTGTGATCCTCCCGTTTCAACCTTTCCAGTTGCTGGGATTATAGATATGTGCCACTGTATCCAATTCTAACACCCCTGAAGAGTTCCTAATCATCAGGTTTCACCCTAAGGCAGAGATCCAGTCTGATTGCCCCTCCCTTCATTGCACCCTGCTGAAGCTGCTGGTTCTGGGCTTGGAGCTCCTGGTTCCTCGAGGCCAGGTCAATGGTGTCTTGCAGGACACAAGCCAGTAGGCTGCGGTGACGATGCTCTGTGGTCATGGCCTGCTCTTCCTGCAGCCTCTGCCAGGCTCGAAATACCTGTGGCCAGATTCAGAGACTCCTGTCAGCCAGCCAGCCTTGCTACCAGCAGGCTCAAGGCCTACTGTCTGTCTCCACTGACCTGCAGTATGTGGCTTGTCTGTGCTCTGGTGGCCTGCACATGCAGATCATAGAAGGATGCCAAGTCTTCCTCTGCGATGTCCCGCTCTGCCTGCAGGGCCTCCACCTGAAGTCTCAGTACTTTCAGCTCCCGGTGCCATCTCGGCCTCTTCTCACAGGTCTTCAGAGAGAATTCATACCCTTTGTTGAGCACCACCTGTTGCTGGACTCTGTTCCAAACCCTCCATGTGCATTATCTCATTTTGTCCAGTAACAACTTTATGGGGTAGTTGTCCTAACTTACTCAAATTCCCATGGCTAGTGAGAGACAGAGCTGAGATGACATATACCTTTCAACAGTTCCTTGGAGTGAAATCCAGACTCAGAGATGTGGTATACCAATCTCATTAGCTTTGCCTCTTGACTCCACACTTGCTGGGTGCCAGACTTGTGGTTCTCAGAGCCCATTTTGCCATTGCTTTATGCTAGCCCATTGCTTATACAGTTTTTCCTCTCTGAGAAATTATCCCCACCACATAAAAAAAAAAAAAAGCTTTGATTCTTAATTTGTTCAAACAAGTTATGTTTACTGAGTGCCTCTGTGATGAGCACTATCTGCCTTTGTGGAACTGAGTCTAGTGAATTCCCTTAGTGATTTCTGTTTGTCCTCTAAGTCTCACCTTAGATGCCATCTCCTCTGATTCACTCCAGCCTGGGTGAAGTGTACCTTTTTATTTTCATCCTAACTCCCCTATTACAGCATGCAGCACTGAGAATTGCCTCCTCTATCCTCCACAAGACTAAGAGGGTATGGACCAGTCAGTTGTGACTGATGAAGGACTAGCTCCTAGTACAATGACTAGCCTAATTATAAGGAATCTCAAGACCCCTACTCAGCCCTCCTCACCTCCTCTTCAGCCACCAGGCCTTTGACCTGTTCATGTACCACCTCTTCCTGTTCCAAATGCTTTATCTCCTCTTGGATCCAAATTTGGTGCTGCTCTCTCAATCTCTGCCTCCGAACTTGAGCCGTGAGCAACTGCAGAGCCACATCTGGGGCCTGCTGGGACTAGATAGTATCAGTCTAGGCTTACCCAGAAGCCAGGACCTAACTGGCCTGGAGGAATCTGTAACCTGGGAAGAGACTCAGGAGGCCAGGGGTAGAGGAGGTACTGGCTCTGCCAATAGTCACCATAAAGGCCCTAATAATCTCATACTCATAATCCAAACAAGAAAAAAGCTCCTCTCTATGCTCATCCTCTAGGGATCCAGTAGCCCTTCAGGTCCTTTATTTTCCAGAAGCTCCATATTTCTTCCTGTTGTCAGGCAGTAGCAGGAGGCAGATTAGCTGGGCTCTGGTACCCCCTCACACTTCCAACAGTTTCCAGTTGTTCCCAAAATATTTGAGATATTACCTGTTCCTCAAAGTTCCTGAGAGGATGCTTTTGGTGGAGACCAGGCCCTAGAGATGATGTTCTTTCTGCCACTACAGGAAAATATAATTAGTCACACCAAAGGTGGAGACCCTTTCCCAACTACCCCTCAAGTACCAGATCTACCAAGGACTTCCTGCTGAGGCCTGGACTATGGCTTACTACTGAATCCATCACCTGCAGAGAAGTAATCTAGAGTGACAATTTCTCATCCCTCCCCCAAGGACAGCGTAGTTTAAGCTTGGGGCTTTGAAATCAAACAGATCAGAGACCCAGCCCCGCCTTTTCTTAGCTCTATGATGTCAGGCAGGCGACTAGTCTTTTGAGTCTCCATGCTCTTCTTCATAAAATAGAATGGATAAAAGTTGTTAAGAGCATGAAATAAGGTAACAACAAAGCACTGAGCAGTCAGGCATGTGATCAATAATTGGAAACTAATGTGCTTAATTCCCCAGGCCCAGTGTTATAAAAACAAATTGTAAGGATGTAATTATGAAAAGGGAAGAGAAGGACCTGAATACGCAGGGTTTGAACTACCCTGCAACAAATCATGGAAGACAGCGCCCCCTTTTGTTCAAGAGAGGTCATGCCATCCGGGTTGCAAGACCCAGATTAGAAATCTGAGGATTTGAGTGTTGCTCCTAGGCTGCCTCTGATTAAGAAAATGACCCTGGGCTACTCACATCTCTTCTCTTATCTCAGTTTTCTCACCTGAAAAATGGGAATAATGTTGTCTTCCTTGCTTAGGATACTTCGGTGGCTCAGGCTTGACCTTCAAGACAGAGTCCAAACATCTCAGTAGCTTACCAAAGCCCTGTGTAACCTGGCCCTACTTATCTCACTATTCCTTCTGGCCTGACTCTAACTTAAACTCTATTCTCCAGAGTACTGAGCTGCTTGCAGTTCTCCAGAGACATCAAGCATTTGCTTACCTCTCAATCTCTGCCTCTCATTCTGTCTAGGTTGTTCTTCACTCATCTTTGCTAACCTCAGGAATCACTTTCTCCATGAAGCCTTCCTTCCCTCTCTTGCTCAGGCTAACACAGATGTGCCACAGAACCTTGTGTTTATAAGCCTTTCCGAGAACTGATCATGGTGTAATTGTTTCTTCCCAACAGATTGTAAACTCCACAAGAACAGGGAATTCCCAGGGCGGACATAGCCCCTGTGCCCTGCACATGGTAAATTGTCAATAAATGTTTGGAAATTGATAAATCAATGGATAAATGGAATGCTCTGTGAAGACAGCAAAGAAAGACATAAATGGGGCTCCCAAAAGGTTGGAGGAAAAGATGTACCTGCGGTTCTGGGAACCCCACGGCCTCAGCTGTAGACCCTTTGGTTGTCCCTCTTCTTGGGCACTGGCTCCAGGCTTTTATCACCTATGGAGAAGGGGTTCAGAGTGGGCACTGGCCATTGCTGGCTAAGGTGCCCTCCAGGCTTCACTTTGCTCACCTGTAGCTCCCGCAGTGCCCTTCCCAGCTGGCTAAGCCCACTGTCTGTCAAGGTGTCCCCAAAGAGGCTTAAACGCAGGGTCCTCAGGCTAGCCCGGCGAGCCCGGGCCTCTTCTACTGCATCCCACCAAGTGGGCTTCACCTCTTTCATCTGCATCCTCCTTCCTGATGCCCCCAAGAGAGCAGCCTGGAGCAAACGCAGGGAGCTGCCTAGTAAAGGAAAACTTGGAGTAGATTACTCCTTCCTGTAGACTCCAGAGCACACTGTTTGTAATAGTTCAAATTTCCATTAATAGTACTATTCTGGGGCTGGGGTTGTGGCTCAGTGGTAGAGCACTTGCCTTGCATATGGAGGGCACTGGGTTCGATCCTCAGCACCACATAAAAATAAATAAAAGTATTGTGTCCATCTACAACTAAAAAAATATTTTAAAAATAGTACTATGCTTCAAAATATCTAACCCCTATTGGACTTTCACATGTGCTTGATGGCTCTGTCCTAAGGCTGTTCATAGCTTATCTATTTTTATCCCCCACAACTGTAATCGACCTAGCCCCCACCCCATCCCACCTATGTTCTCCAGATGAGGCAATTGAAACTCAGAGAGGTCTAACGACTTTTTGGTAAGTGACAGAGCAGAAAATCAAGCCCAGTTTTGTCTGACACTAAAGCCTGTGCTCTTGGTCATGACATCACACTGGCCCATAGATAAACACATGTCTGACCCTCACTGCTTTATCTTTGACGGTGTCAATTGCCACAACTTATCTTCCTCATTCCATAGGACCTGGCATAGGAGGACTGAGAATCTGCTGGCCAAAAGTGTGTTTGTTGATTTTGGAGATAGAGTGCCAGACATGTTTTTTTTTTTTTTAACTCTTATGGAAAATTTCAAACATATACACAGTGTAAGAAATCCATCTATCACCCATCTTGAACTATTATCAGCTCATGGCTCTTTTTTTATGTGATAGAGGGAAGATTAAGCCCAGAGGTACTCTGCCACTGAGCTATATTCCAAGCCTTTTTATTATTATTTTTTTTTATTTTGAGACAGGATATTGCTAGGTTGCTCAGGCTGACCTCCAACTTGCCATCCTCTTGCCTCAGCCTCCTGAGTGTCATGGATTACAGGCATGCACCAATGTGCCCAGCAAAGGCCATATTGTTGATGGGTATATGAAAATAGGTAAGTTCTTTTCTCTTTCTGGTCCTCTATTTCCTCTTCTATAAAATATACCTGCCTCCATTTACTCATTTGTAAATTAAATTCTCCTGAGGAGGTTATGGTAAGAATTGAAGGTATTAAAATGCTTTGTAAGCTGTTGAAGCCCCTAAGGGGAGGGGTTTGCTTTTACTATTGTCTTTGCCCTTGCCCCTCCAAACTTTGGCACCCTAGCCACAATGGCACCTTCCTAAATCCCAGAGGATAAAGTTTGCTCTCTGGGCAAGGGTTAGTTGGCTGATAGGATGAGGCAGGCCTAATGCCAGATTTCAGAGTTTCCCAAAAAACCCCACGCCCTTGCCCCATCCATCTTGGGGGTCCAGGTGAATAAGGAGTCCACTGTAGTTGTTTCCTTCCAGAAGCCATGAGACAATCCAGGGCAGAGAGCCCTCCACCTTCTCACCAACAGCCTCACCCGCCAACACCCGCAGCAAGGGGCAATCCCTGCCAGAGAAAAAGAAGATAATAGTTGTCCACTTGTGATTGAGAAAGAAAATGAATGCATCACATGCTGATAAAAAGATTGACTATTTCCATCAACTTTTGCCCATAACCAGACAGATTCACAACCTGGAACTGAAATGGATGTAATGTCTGCAAAACAGAAATGTGTCTAGTGAACCACTTGCCAATCTTAACCACTGTCCAACTTACATGAAATTCATGAAATGAGCACTTAAAGCAGTGGCAACTGAAAATAGAGAAATTTTTACAACAAACTCAGGGAGAGCTCTTTCTCTGACTTTTGGGAGAAATTATATATATATGAAAGATGGGATGTGGAAAAGAGGCCCTATCTGATGTGTTCTACTTTGATTTCTATCCTACAATCTAAAAAGTAATCAATGTGTTTGGCAACTTTTCAATTTTTATTTTGGGACAGGGTCTTGATACGTTGCCTGGGTGGGCCTTGAACTTGTGACCTTTTTGCCTTGGCCTTATGAGTCGCTGTACCACAAGCCTGTACCACCATGCTCAATTTATTTTTTATTTTTCTTTAATGTTTTTATTTTTCTTTAATTGTCCCTAGGGATTTAATTCTATGTCAGGTCACTGGCTAACTAATGAGATAACAGAATGAAGACTTCAGTGGCCACAAAGAATACTATCTTCAAAAATTGTTTGGAAAAATGACTAAGCAGGGCTGGGGTTGTGACTCAGTGATAGAGCACTTGCCTAGCACATGCAAGGCGCTGGGTTCAATCCTCAGCCCCATATTAAAATAGATAAATAAAATAAAGGTATTGTGTTCCACTACTACTAAAAATTGAATATTAAAAAAATTAAATTAGGGCTGGGGCTGTGGCTCAGAGGTAGAGCGCTGGCCTATCTACATGAGGCACTGGGTTCAATCCTTAGCACCACATAAAAATAAAATGAAGATATTGTGTTTACCTATAACTAAAAAATAAATATTAAAAAAAATAAATTTAAAAAAAAGAAAAGAAAAATTACTAAGCAAACATTGTTATAAGCCACAGCCCATAACAAGCAACAATAATAGATCCTGGACAGTAGGGAGAATTTGATTTCCTGAGTTACCACATAACATCCTAAATGTCAGAGCATTAAACTAAAGAAACAAAGAACAATGAACAAAAGATCAATATGACAAATACAGTTTTTTTTTACAAAAAATATTAAAAATGGACAACTTCTAGCAAAAATTAAGACATGTACAAAGGAACAAGCAAGTATGGTTCAAAAGAAAAAAGAAATTAACAGACACTGTCCCTGAGGATGCACAGATGTTGAACACTGAAATATCTAGACAAATACTTTACGTCAACTCTCTCAGAAAACTAAAGGAAATCAAGATGTGATGTTTTAATGAATAGAGAATATCAATAGAGAGGTAGAAATTATAAAGAAGAACCAACTAGAAATTCTGAAAAGTACAATAACTGAAATTTTAAATTCACTTATAGGGATACAAGAGTAGATTTGGGCAAATGCAAGAAATAATCTCAGTGAACTTGATAGGTCAAATTATCCTGTCTAAGGAGAATTAAGAAAAAGATGAAGGAAAATGAGTAGAGAGCTTAAGAGACTTGTGGGAGTCTGGATAATGCAAATACGAGAGGGAAAAGAGACAAAAGAACAGAAAAAAATATTTGAAGAAATAATGGTCAAAAATACCCCAAATATACAACTATAATGCACCAATAAAAAATGTGGAAGGAAAAAACCTTCCAAATATGCTGTCTTTTGCACATGTACTCCTTTTGCATGTATTTGCTTCCCCTTTCCACTTCTCTACCATGAGTTGAGTAGTATGAGGACCTCACCAGAAGCCCCACAGATGCAGATATCATGCTCCTGAACTCTCCTTCCCCCAAAACCATGAACCAAAATAACCTCTTATCTTTATAAAGTGAAAAAAATCTTTCAATTTTATGAAACCATGAATCTACATATGCAAGAAGCTAATGAACTCTAATGGCATAAACTCAAGGTGATCCCCACCAAGACATTATGATCCAACCATCAAAAGACCAAAAATATTTTTTTTTATAAATATTTATTTTATTTTAGTCTTCGGCACAACATCTTTGTTTGTATGTGGTGCTGAGGGTCGAACCTGGGCCGCACGCATGCCAGGCGAGCGCGCTACTGCTTGAGCCACATCCCCAGCCCCAAAAGACCAAAAATCTTAAAAAAAAAAAAAAAGCAAGAAAGAAGCTAACTTATTGTGTGTTGTAATCTTCAATAAGATTAAAAACTGAGGTCTGGGGATATAGCTCAGTTGGTAGCGTGCTTGCCTCCTATATGTACAAGGACCTAGGTTCAATACCCAGCACCACCACCAAGAAAAAAGAAAGAAAAAAAAAGACTAAATTTTTAATCACCAGAAACTGTGGATGGCCAGATGACAAATTTAAAGTACTGACAGAAAAAAATTACTTACCAAGAACTTCATATCTGACAAAAAATTTTCTATTTTTTTTTGGGGGGGGTGGTACTGGGAATTGAACTCAGGGACACTCAACCATACCCCCAGACCTACTTTGTATTTAATTTAGAGACAGGGTCTCACTGAATTGCTTAACACCTTGCTTTTTGTTGAGGCTGGCTTTGAATTCATGATCCTCCTGCCTCAGCCTCCAGAACCACTGGGATTACAGGTATGCACCACCATGCCCAGCACTATCTTTCAAGGAGAAGAAACTAAGACATTCCCAGATAAAGAAAAGCTGAGGCGATTCACCTCTAGTAGTTTCTTTACCAGAAATGCTAAAGTAAAGTGTAAATACATTAGACAGTAACTTGAAGCCATATGAAGAAATAAGGAACACTAGTGTTAGGGAACAAATAGATGAGGGTGGTGGGAACATGAGGTTAAGAGAATAATTCTAGGGCTGGGATTGTGGCTCAGCAGTAGAGCGGATAGAGCGCTCGCCTAGCACTGGTGGGACCCAGGTTGGATCCTCAGCACCACATAAAAATAAAGGCATTGTGTTGTGTCCATCTACACCTAAAAATATAATAAGTGTTTAAAAAAAGAGAGAGGATAATTCTATACTGCCGCAGTCTGGCTGGGCACAAATTACGAGCCACTCAAGCAGGAACAAACTTTATTTCCGAACTCCCGGGAACGTCACGCACACAGCCTTCTCCCGGGACACACCACACACCAACCGGAAATCCCTCCTCCGGAACTTCCACAACCAACTCGAACTCCCCAGGCAATCCTCGGGAGGACTCCAAAGTATCGGGCACCAGAGGCGGACAGTAAAGGTCTAATATACAATTGAATCAATCCAGCATCATCTTAATGGCTCGCCTCTCAACCAATACTACTGGAAAAATGCCAGGGGCCATTCCGACTGGCTGTGGCTCTCAGCACTATACCATGAACCCACTATGCTGACTCCCACATGCTTTCTTTGTCAAAAAGCAATGTCTTGTACCTGGCTTTAGTAGTCAGGATGTGTCACAGTCCTCACCAAATTACCTGTTATCTTCAAGGAAACTCAGGCAGGAAACAATGTTGATAAGAACAACCCAAGTTACTTTGAAAGGAGAGACTTTTTGTGACCCCTTTCACAGACTAGATCTTGGAAGATAAGGGTAGTTCCTCCTAACCATAAAACCTGTAAAAATGATTTAGAATCTAATTAGAACTGCTCAGCATGGGCCAAGGTGACATAGAGTTGTCCTGGCAGTAAAGCTTGAAAGCCTGATGTCATCTTGCTGTCAGTCAAAAGTTAAGAAGTAGACCTGGGTGGGGCTCTTTGGAAACTTCCCTGGGATCCCCAATAAAACTGGAGTGCATGGAATATTGTTTGGGGTTTCTTTCCACGATGACAGCTGAGTCAGAGTGTAAGGGTAAAAGAAATTGAAGTTAAAGCGTAAAAGTTAAAGGGTAAAAGACCGGGTGTTGTAAAGTTTCTAAGCTGCAAGGTCTGAGTTAAAATGTAAAGGATTAGGTATTGTTAGGTTTTTATGCTACCTGCAAAACCTGAAATTTCTGTAGCTGTTAAGACAATGCTTGGAACTGCCCAGTAAATATTTCCCCTGACTATTTGGTTGTGTAATAAGGGCTCTGTGTGGTCGCACGTAGGCATTGCAGGGCCTGGACCAATCAGTTTAAATGTAACCCCCTCCTTAGGAATGACCTATCACTCCAGCCTGACCTGTTCCCGCCAATGAATGAACTAATCATGTTTAGGAGTTGTTGTTCAATTTTCCCGCGCCTCATGATGATTTGTTCTGATGTATACAAAGCCCTCCGCCCTCCCCAAAAAGTGTACTTAAGCAGTGCTCAGCCCCTGCTCAGGGCTCTGGCTGCTTTCCCTTCTTGAGTGGGCACGGAGCCCCAGCATGCTGGTTCAATAAATCCCCTTCTGCCAATTGCATGAGTGGTCACTTGGTGGTCTCTTTCAGCTTCGCCTGACCCTTACAAGAGTGACTATGAGGCGACTCTTGTTCTAAGATGGAGTATATGTTTCAAAAACAGCATTGCCTGTGTCAAGTTCTTCCTGATAGAGATTTTTTTTTGAAGTAATGTGACTTCTTTTTTTATTATTTTATTTATTTATATGTGGTGCTGAGAATCGAACCCAGTGCTTCACACATACTAGGCAAGTGCTCTACCACTGAGCCACAACCCCAGCTGGAGATTTTTTTAAAAAATATTTATTTAGTTGGAGATGAACACACAGTACCTTTATGTATTTTTATGTGGTGCTGAGGATTGAACCCAGTGCCTCACACATGTGAGGCAAGCACTTTACCACTGAGTTAAAGCCTCAGCCCCCCAATAGAGATTTTGATACCCTACTTTTTAATAATTGGTAGAATAACTAGGCAAAAGTTCAGTAAGGAAGAAGAATACTTGAACAACATAATAAACCAATTAGGCTCAACAGAAATATACAGAATATCCTAAAATAACAAAATATATATTCTCCAAAGTGCACATGGAACATTCTCGAGGACAGACTACATATTAGGCTACAAAACAAATGTCAATACTTAAAATAATAAAAAAATCTTAAAATAATAAAAAGCATCTTCTCTGATCACAAAGGAATGAACTAGATATGAATAACAGAAGGGAAACTGGAAAATTCACAAATTTGTAGAAATTAAACAAAGAAAATTAAACAAAGGAAAATTAGAAAATACTTTCAGACAAATGAAAATAAAACATAACATAACAAAACTTACAGGATATAGCAAAAACAGTGTTCAGAGGGAAATTTTTAGTTGTAAATGCCTGCATTTAAAAGGAATAACTTAACCGGACACTTAAAGGAACTAGAAAAATAATTTTTTTCCCAATACTTGGGATTGAACCTAGGGTATTTTACCACTGAGGTTCTTGCAAAGTTGCTGAGTCTGGCCTTAACCTTGGGATCCTCCTACCTCAGCCTACTGAGTCTATGGGATTACAGGCATTTCATAGTGTCTGGCAAGATCATTTCAATTGATTAAAAAAAAAAATACACTGGGGCTGGGGTTGTGGCTCAATGGTAGAGCGCTTGCTGGGTTTGATCCTCAGCACCACATAAAAGTAAATAAACAAAATAAAGGTATTGTGTCCATCTACAACTAAAAAAAGTTTTTTTTAAAAGTTTTATGCAGTATCTAAAACCCTATCGTGATATAAATATTCAACAAAATAATCCCAACTACTTAGGAGGCTGAGAGGGAGAATCACAAATTCAAGGCCAGTCTGGGCAATTTAGGGAAACCCTGTCTCAAATTAAAATAAAAAGGGCTAGGAATGCAGCTCAGTGTTAAAGCACCCCTGGGTTCAATCCCCAGTACTACAAGCAAAACAACAAAAGCAAAAACAAAAACCAAAAAAAATCAACAAAATAGGAATAAAAGAGAAATTCTACAACATTATAAAAAGTATATGTGCAAGGATTGGGGTTGTATAGCTCGGGAAGCTGAGGAAGGAGGATCACAAGTTCAAAGCCCACCTCTGAAACTTAGCGAGGCACTAAGCAACTCAGTGAGACCCTGTCTCTAAATAAAATACAAAATAGGGTGGGGGATGTGGCTCAGTGGTTGAGTGCCCCAGAGTTCAATCCCTGATATCAATCAATCAATCAATCAATGGAAAGATGTGCTGATATATACTACATGATGAACCATGATGAACATTATTCTAAGTGAAGGAAGCCAGGTTTAAAAGTCACTTACTGCATGATTCTGTTTATAGGAAAACATTCAAGTCAGATCAGTCGGGGCAGGCAATGGCCAAAGGAGGCAGATTTAAAAGGGCTGCTGAACAGGCTTTATTGAGATATCACTCCCTAACCCTAACCCTAACCCTCAATCAGACCCACAGAGGGGACAGGAGAAGGGTCTGAGGAGAAACCGCGTGGAAGCTCGACTGTACTGGACTTTTATGGGGCTTACAGCAGGAAGGGAAGGGCTTCGGACAGGAAAAGGTGTTTCTAGGGTCCCTTGCCCCCTTGGAGTTGGTCAGGGGAGTTGGCTGAACTCCAGGATTGGCCAGGGGGTCCTGTTGATGGACAGGTGTTAGTCAGGAGATCTGGCTGATTGACAGGCGTTTCCGCCGGCATCTGATTGATATTCTTTTCCCGCGTGGGCTGCTTTGTTCTAAGTTGCCACTAAGTCACCACCAAGCCGCCGCCAAGTCTCCACCACCCACCGACCTAACAATTCATATTAGATAAATCCATTGGGAAATGAAATCACGTTCAGTAGGGGCTGGGAGAAAGGGGAATTGGAGAGTGACTGCTTAATGGGTACAATTGGAGAGTGACTGCTTAAAGCGTACAGGGTTTTCTTTCAGGATGATGAAAATGTGTTGGAACTAAAGAGTTTCACAACCTTATAAGTGTTCTAAATGTTACCAAATTGCACCTTATATCATGGTTACAGTTAAATTTATGTTGTATGAATTTTACCTCAATAACTATAGACAAAGATTAAAATTCAGTTAGATGCTTGCCTAGCATGTGTGAGGTACTGGATTTGATCCTCAGCACCACATAAAAACAAATTAATTAATTAAGTAAAGGCATTGTGTTCATCTACAATTTAAAAAAAATGCTTAAAATAATTGAGTTACCAGATTACCCCCACACACACACAATATCACTTCTTGCTATATATCCAGGAGAACTGAAAATATGTAAAAAGAAAACCTTTTATGTGAATGTTCATAAGAAGTACTATTGTAATAGTCAAAGGTGGAAACAGCTCAAATGTCCATCTAGGAATAAATGAATGAACAAAAGATGGGATATTCATACAATTGAATATTATTTGTCAATAAAAACTGAAGTTTGAACCTTGAAAATGTTATCCTACATGAAAGAATGAAAGAAAGAAAAGACTTTGGAATAGTCTGGAATTTAGGGTACTTTATTTCTCCATTTTGTTTTTAGGCACTTCTGAATTTGGCCGTGTTTCCATGATAATACAAATCTTGCAAATTGGCTTGGAATGTTTATTTTCTATCGACACTCAATGCTTTCATTATTTTTGGACACTGAGAGAAAGGTACAAAGTGCAGCATGAAGATATGGTTACTTGGGAATTTTCCAATCTTTGTTTTGGATATTTGGTTCTTCCCAAGTTTGCAGTCTGATAGATCAGAAGAAAATTAATTCAAATTGTAAAAATTAAAAAGAAATAGAAGGCTGGGCATAATGGCACATGCATGTAATCCCAGAAACTTGGGAGGCAGAGGCAGGAGCCAACCTTGGCAATTTAGCAAGAACTTGTCTTTTTTTTTTTTTAATTTTGGAAATGTTAAATATTTGTTATTTTTATTTTTATTTTTATTATTGGTTGTTCAAAACATTACATAGTTCTTGACATATCATATTTCACACATTTGATTCAAGTGGGTTTTCCTTGGGATTAAACCCAGGGCTTTATGCATGCAAGGCAAGCACTCTACCAACTGAACTCTATTCCCGGCCCTAACACCCTGTTTTAACATTAAAAAAAATGGGGCACTTTTCAATATATGAAAAAACAGTGACTGGAAAGATCTATTTTTATTTAAAGATTCTACAAATTCTCTACCTACCCAGTTGCTTTTGACCACGTCATTTGCCAACAGAGGGTCTTAGTCTGGGGTCTGGGGGAACCTTACTGTGAGAGCTCAGGAAAAAAGGAGAAACTTTGATGCTGCCCTGGGCATTCACATCCATATTCCAGCCTTGCACCTCACCTCCCAATGCAGCCAGAGGCCCTCTCATACTTACGGGGTCCCTGGGAGCTGCAAGATCCTCAAAGCACCTCGCCATACACCGTGGGTCCCAGGCCCCTCAGGAGGTTTAGGCCCAGGGCAGAACATGGTGACAGTGAGCAAAAAGCAGGTCCTGTGGGGGAAAGGGTAGGCTCAAGGCAAAGGCCCAGGGGATGAGGGATGACTGGTGCCTTCAGGTCCTCACCTGCCTTCACCCCCTGCAGCCTGTAAGTATAGCTCTGAGGCAGCTCTTGCGTCAGACACTTCCACTTCACTGGCATGTTCCACCACCCTGCAGGAAGGGGAAGTTGAGTCACCTCCTAAATTGATTTTAATTTTCTCCTGTGAGCTGGGCAGGGTGGCGCATACCTATAATCCCAGAGATGCAGGAGGCTGAGGCAGGAAAGTCACAAGTTTGAGGCTAGCCTCAGCAACTTATTTTTCCTCCTCTGGTTTGCCATCAAGGGAAACAGGATAATTGGGATTCCCCCCATTTTACAGATGAAGAAATGAAAGTCCTGCTCAGTAAAGTGCTCAAAATTACCTACTGTGACAGCGGACTGAGTTGAGATGTGAGGATGGAGAATAGAGTTGAAATGGTATGAGTTGAAGAGCTACAATCGGGGTGGGAGTAGTAAGAGATATGAGCATATGGGATGAGGGTGCGAGAGTGTGAGGGTGCGAGGGTGCAAGGGGGTCCTGGGAGCAGACCCAAGGCCTATAAACAGGACTCCAAGCTCAGAGCTTCCCTCTTCTGAGGTGGCAGCGGGTAGAAACCTCTAAAGACTTGACCTGGAACTATTAGCCCTGCCTTAAGACAAGCACACTCAGACCCCATTGGGCCCTGAACACTCACAAGCCTAGAGGAGCCACATCCAGCACCGACAGGTCCTCCACCCCTGGGGAGAGCAGGTCCCAGGTCTTCCCGCTGGGGCTGATCTAAGGTCACACAAGCACACTTGTTACAAACTGAGCCTTTCCTTTTGTGGGTCCCTGTGAGCTCAGCAGTGTGCATGACTGAGCCATTCCATTGTCAGGATAAAGGTGACCCCACAGAGAAAATCCTACTCTGGTGAGCCTCAGAGTGGGGCTAGACCCAAGTTCTTCTGGCTCCCCACAAGCCGCAGGCCCTTTCTTCAGTGTCACATGGCCCTGGCTCCCAGGTCCCAATCCCATCTCCTCAACCCCCAAGAGTTTCACCTGCACCAGGCTAAGAGTGCTAAGTACATGATCAGAGCGGTGGAGGGACAGAGCTTCCTCAAACAGCATCTGCAGCAACTAAAGGGAGAAAGGGATCCAGTGAGGACTGAGAAAGAAATGACTCAGTCCTCAACACTTCCTGAGGGTGAGATCTATGCCACACCCTGTCTGGGTACTGGGGACATGGTGTCCAGAATAGAAATAGCACTAACACTCATGTTCACAGTGAGCCAGAATGAATAGACATGAGTAGACATTTTCAGTGGGACCTGGCACAGGGTCCCATGACAAGGTTCTGAGGCAGCTGTTTTGATTTGGGCAAATTTTAATGAAGCCCCCACAACAAAGTTTTCAAGTTTAGTATCATTAGTGTAACCAAGAACTATGAAAAGCAGACCTCCTGAATATTTGATCTTCACACACTGCCCCTCTGACTCCCATCCCATCCTCGTGAGCGTCCTGCCTTTCAAACCTGCCAGGGTCAAAATGTACTACATGGATCACAGTCCCCAAGGCGCGTTACCTAGTCCAGCTGGGATGGACAGACAAAGAACCTCTAAAGTCCTGGAGAAGGTGACTCCTGAACCTCATGAGGTCTGTGCCCTGGTGGGTCCTTACCTGGGGCACAAATCGGGGGGCCTCTGTCTCCCTGCCCCGGAGCAGCAGAGATACACTGTACCCTTGGCCCACAGAGGCCAGTGTTGTTTGGACTCGTGCCAGTAGCTCCTGCTCTGCTTCCTGCGGGAAGACACAGGCTAATTCCCGCTGTCTCAGGTGCCATTTCCCAGCCTTTCCTGAGCAAAGGGTTGGGGAGCAGACAGCACTCTCGGATCCAGGGCCCTGAAACCTCCCATCATCCTCCCATCGCCCACTCAGTTTCCCTACCTGAGCAGCATCAGGACCCAGGACTCTGTCAAAGGTGAAGCATTGTTCCTATGGGCAGGACTGGGGTCAGTAGTGTCATTCCCATCTTCCCCTATACCCACCAACTCCACCTGGTTTACCTGAGTCTCCAAGTTCCCCAGCTGAAGAAGTTGAAGGCTCTTGGGCCCCTCCAGAAGGATTGTAGGGCTATGGGTCTCCTTGGGGCCTGAGAAAGGCAGATTTCACATGAATTCTCAGGAGGAAAACTGAGCTCCAGGATTCCCCAAGTCCTGCCTTCAACCCAGGCCTCAGTTTCGCAACCTAAGCTGTCCTGGCCCTGCCTCTCCCAAGAAGCTCCCTAGACTATACTCCTGAATACAAACTTGGGGGGCTTCTTACCTGATCCCCTCTCCAGCTCCACTTGTACCACCACAGTCAACATGGCAAGTAGATTGAGAGACACAGTGTGGGTCTCTGGAGAAGGCAGAGCTTCCTGGTCCACACAGCCCCTGTTCTCACCACCTCGGCAGACTTCAAGACTCCAGGCCTCTCAGATTGCCCTTAATAATTCATGTCCTTCATGAGAGGGCCTGGGAGTAGGGGTCAGGTGGCTCTAAACTACCAAGAGAAGTGACACTCTCTTCTGAGAAAACATTTCCTGAATTTCTTTTTTTTTTTAATGAAAACTTTCAAACTATATAACAGTGAAGAGAAGAGTATAATAAACTTCCAGGTTCAGCTTCAGCAATTATAAATTTCCTGTCAGTCTTATTTCTTCAATTCCCCTCTCCAACCCCAATGGATTATTTTGAAGTTGTTTCCAGACATCCCATTATTTCATCAATTATTTCTGCATCTATTTCTAAAAGGTAAACATTTTTAATAACAGTTTTTGAGATATAATTAATATGCCATACAATGTACCCATTTAAAGTATAAGTCAGTGTATATACATAGATATACATATATCTATGTATATTCATAGATACATATATCTATGTATTGGTTGCAACCACTATAACAGTTAATTTTAGAATATTTCCATCATGTCATTAAAAAAATTTTGATTTCCTTTAGTTATCAGCTCCCTAACCTCAAACCACCCATCTCAAGCTGCAACCCTGAGCAACTATTTATCTACTTTCTGTCTACAGATTTGTCTGTTAGACATTTCATATAATTAGAATTACACACTGTAATTTTTGCATCTGGTTTCTTTCACTTAGCATAATGTTTTAAATGTTCATCTATGTTGTAGCATGGATAAATATTTCTTTTTCTACAGCTGAATAATGTTCTATATAGGCTTCTTCACAAATTACCCAGGATCGGGCTAAATTTCACAGTAAAGGGCGTGATTTTCTGTAGCATTCTGCTCACTACAGACACCACTCTCAAGCTCAGGGTTCCCTAAGCCTTTGCACTCCAACCACCTGGGTATTTCTATGATTCTGGGTGTTTCCATTACTCCCTCAGGTTTGATTCACAAAAACAACTCACAGAACTCAGGAACACACTATGTTTATTTTATAACACCAATTTTCTGACATCAACTGAGTGTTCAATTCAATTCATTTCTGACATGAACTGCCTGGAGTTGATGACAGATCCCACAGATTAAAAAGTAAATTTCTCAACAAAGCTGTCCTTAATTTAGATGACAGACACATGTAAGGTTACTTGGCTATCCATATTTCTGTCTGAATTGGTTAAAAGTTTAGCAGTTCCAAAGACCCCATGTCAGGTTTAATAATTAACTAAAGGGACTGTAGGTATAGCTCAATGGTAGAGCCTGTGTTTAGCATGTGCAAGGTCCTGGGTTCAGTTCTGAACACTGATAATATTAATAATTCACTAGAATGACTAACAGAACTCAGAAAACTGCTCTACTTACTATTGCCTTATTTAAAAAAAATATTTATTATAAGTATGTCCCAACTATTTTTTTAACTTTTTTGTTCATCTATTTTCTGTGGTGCTGACGATGGAACCTAGTGCTTCACACTTGGGAGGCAAGCATTCTACCACTGAGCCACAACCTCAGCCTCTTACTATTGCCTTTTTATTATAAAGGATATAAATGGATAGTCAGATGAAGAGGTACATAGGGCAAGATCCAGGGTACAGGAGCCTCTATCCCTATACTGCCATCCTCCAGGTTCATCAATGTGCTTACTGCCAGGAAGCTCCCTAGGCTCAATCTGGAGCTGATTTTTTTTTTTTAGGTTTTATTATGCAAGCATGATTGATCATTGTCCATGTGACTGAACTCCAGATGCCCTCTTCTCCCCAGAGGGTTGGTGGGAGTGGGGAGCTAACAATTCTAGCCTTCTAGTGACATGATTGGATTTCTGGTATTCTATCTTTTCTATGCTACAGCTATACAGAGGTCCACAGCAAGGTGGTCTTGGACTGACTCAGTTCTCCCCTCTTTCTTGCTTGTAGTTTTAAAAAATAACTGCAAAATGTGATGGGAATGCAGCATCCTATGACAGGAGGGACTGGCTGGAGCAACATAGGCTCTGTTCTGGTCCCTCCTAAAATAGGATATCTTTCAATGCTTTATCCCAGTAAGTCTGATTTCCCCTGGGGTATGAAACCCAAAGCATTGCTATACAGGGTTCCTCAGTTGTGGTGCCAGTGGGGTATGCACAGAAAAGATTCCATCCACCCAGGGAGCTTTCCAGAGCCTTAGGGGACTGGCTCACAATGAATTCTTAGCTTTTCCTTTTGTCCCTTGACAATTTTTTTTCTGTTGTCCCTTGATGCTTATCTCTAAGTAAGTTGTGTGCAGGTATTCACCAGAGTCAGACAAGTTGGTAACTAGTACACAGTGAACTTGCTTTACATACTTCATTAGTCTAACAGAGAGACTCCTTTTACTCATGAATTCCAAAGGATTTTGAAACTCTGTGCCATAAAATGGGGACAAAGATCAGACATATTCTTTATCATTCACTGTCCAGACCATGCTCTTTCAGCAATAGGGTCATACCTGTCTGATAGTCTACATTTGGTGTATTATTGATATAGCAGATACAGCAGACTACCAACATGCATATGCTTCATGTGCAAAGCCTAATATTTGAAAGTATCAGTGTAGGGTAGGGATATAAAATCCAATTTTCCAACACCAGGCAACTATCAGTTTCAGTATGATGGCCACTCAGATTTTTATGATTCTACTCAATCTTTTCAGGTTCCAAAACCAGGAGTGATCTCAGCAATATTTGGCTTCACCCTTTCAGACAGCTGGTATGACAATATCACCTCTTGCTCTGGAATTCTTTTGAAGTGTTAGTATAATACTTGATTACTCTAATTGTATAACTCATTTATTCATTTATTTGCCATCCATCAGCTATTATTTTTCCTTCTCTTCATTTATATCCAAACTTTCCTACTTTAGAAGATATGTAGGTCTGACCACTGTGCTGGCGTACACCACTGGCAACAAGTGTCTCCCCTTCAGTCCTCCCCCATTCATGTAGAGTAGGGTTGTATAGATATCAAACCGGTAGGCTGTCTTAACCACTAGCCAGTACAGCAGCATTTATTGTCAACTCAAATATTTTACAGATAGGCTGAAGGCACAATATGCTCCATTAGGCTCTTAGGAATTCTGATAGAAATATTTAAAGATACAGTTACGATTTCTTATTTGGGAATCATCCTTGCTTCTAGCACCTGCAGATTCATCTCTGGTCCTGAGCTCTTTGCATCAGGTAGGAAAAAAAAGAAAGTTGAGGTGATATAGATAACAATCTCATAGTCATACCAGTATAGGGTGATGGCTAGCGTCTCATTGGGGGGTTCTTCTTCCTGCTGAGAAGGGTGTAAGCCACCTGAGAAATTAAAGTCTACAATAATTAGTGAAGAACAAAAGACAAGAGTCAGAAAGATATTTTCAAAAACGGAACCCCTGATAGGTTTAGTTCACACAGGAGCTGGAGCCAGACAAAAGAAAATGGCTCCAGTGGTTTATTTAAGGGGATACATAAAAGTCAGGGGTAAGGTTTCAAGGGCGGAGTCCTGCTTCCTGATGTCTTGCAGTCAGCAGGTTGATTGACATCTTGGTAGGTCACACCCATCTCAGAGGGGTTGTGTGGCCATAGCAGGTCACCCCATCTGTCACCCCATCTTCAGTGCTGTATGGGACCTTTGGCAGAGCTTGAATAGGGCTCACTATGAGTCAGGGCAGTCAACCAGAGGATGTGTCCACTGGTCAGTCCCAGACACCAGATTCTTCTATTCAATAGGCTTCGATGTGCTGCAGCCCACATGCAGCCCACAGATGGCTTGCAACATACCAGAATCCTCCTTTGCCGCAGTCTGGCTGGGCACAAATGCCGCAGTCTGGCTGGGCACATAATCGCGAGCCACCACACAGCTTGTAGATTCAAACAGCAACTCTTTATTCCCGAACTCACACCAGCCGTCTACAAACACGTTCTGGGGAAATCCACGTTCTCTGCCCAAATCCATTCCCACTGGGCTTCTGTCTCCCAAAAAATACTGTCTGAATCCCGTGAGAACTCAAGGGGAACTCAGGCAGCAGGATAACCCTATTCCCAGCAGGAATAATCTTAAACCTGGAACGCCCTAAACCCGATTATCCTAAACTGGGAACACCCTAATCCGCCCTGGTCCTTGAGCAAGGTCACCTACATGCAATGTCACTGCAAAATGTCCTATTTCCACGAGTCCTTCCACTAAGCAACATGGGGTACGCTGGCAAGGAAATTGTCATACCTATTTGGCTAATGGCTCCCAGCACTCCTTCACTCTGTTTTCCTCGGATCCCCTAGAAGGGTGGTAGAATCTGTCCAGAGGGGACTCTCCCTTGCCACCTACCCCTGCCATGTTGAATGTGAGCATACATTCTTATAAACTCATTCAAACAAGAGCTTCATGACTTTATTTTCCTCCCTTCATATTAGACAACAAATGTTTCAATTATTTGTTCTAATTCCCTATTAAAACATTTCAATTATTTGTTCTAATTCCCTGTGGATAATATGCAACATGATATGTCTATTTGATCTGATATCTCTTTGCCCACTGTTGGATGCTATGGGCTATAAAGTTTGATTCTTGGTCTGAAGATATGTAACTTGGGGGCCCAAATTGGTACAGTACCTTTTTTTCAATCCTTTAATAGTATTTTGAGCATTTGCATCTACCACTGAGTAGTAAAATCTAGCCAAAGTAAGTAACTATTCCTGTCAGGACCCATTTGTAGCTCCTCAGGGATTCCTGCATTGGTTAAATCTAATCCACTTGCCAGCTATGTGGGGGGACTTCCCTCTGGGGCTAGCGGCTGTACCCAGGCCAGTCAGGATCTAAGCAGTCCAGGGTCTTTCCCACTCATTCCTTTAGTAGAAACCTGAGAATACAGGCTATATGGTCAAAATATCATCTTGTCTATCTTTTATTGTCATA